AGAAGAAGAAGAAGAAGAAGAAGAAGAAGAAGAAGAAGAAGAAGAAGAAGAAGAAGAAGAAGAAGAAGAAGAAGAAGAAGAAGAAGAAGAAGAAGAAGAGCAGCTTACCTCCTTGTACCAGTGCTTGACCAGTCGCAGCAAATCCTTCAGTTTTTCTGGAGACTGCTTCACAAAGTTTCTCTGCAGCTTGATGAAAGAAGTGGAGAACTCACCAGGGACCTTGGTGGCCTGGACCAGATCCTCATAGATCTTGGGGGGTGGCTTGTATGTCAAAGTCACCTGCTCTGGGATGGGGAGAAAAGCAGGTTATCATGAGGCTGTTGTAAATCCATTGCATCTTATCAGAACCATCCGTAACTTTTCTGCCCCAACAGTGGAACTTGTGGGTCAGTGGATAGATGCCATCTTAACTAGATAAAAGAGCAAAGAAGAAAGGGCCCACATCCAGGCAGAGGAAGGGACTGTTCACCGGAGTCTACCTTGCCTGAGTGGGCAAGCTAAGCAATTGGTAACTTTAGATGGAAGGTTGTTTTCTCACTCTAAAAACTGTGCCAGAAGTACATTTTACTTCTCTGCCCTAAAATACGACTAAAATGTTGGTCTTTTGCAATCCATATCCTTGATTAACAAAAGAGCCACAGACCACATTAGACCCCAAACTCAGCTATTTACCTATATATCGACCAAAATGGCAAGTTCTGAAACTAGAGCAACTGGGAACTGAACAGGTTTGTCCCTTCTAGCAAGCTTGGTGGTGGTGGTGGTGGAGGAAAGTACTGTCAAGTCACAGTTAACTTATGGTGAGCCTGTTGTGTTATCAAGGCAAGAGACTTTTCAGAGGTGGTTTGCCATTGCCTGCCTCTGCATCATGACCGTGGTATGCCTTGGTGGTCTCACATCCAGGGGACATTTCGTAGAAAAAGAGGTGCAGCAGCTCATTAGCATAACTCTGGGCGACTCTGAGCTGCCATCTGTGTGGCTCCTGGGGACTGTTGGACAAGCAGTCGCCTCTTCGCCTTCCTCCAGGGCAAATGTTTTTTCCCTGTACACTGAAGTATGCGCATGCTCCGTTGGGTGCTTGTGCGCATCCATGGAGACTTGGGGGGGGGAAGCTTTTTGCGAGGGGACATGGGCGGGCGCCGGATGCCACCGGAAACGCGATCAGATGCCCGCCCTTGCCCCGCGGTTTCCGGAAACTAGTACCTCCGAGGTACTATTTTTTTGCCGCACATATTCGACAGGAAGCCTTGGGTGACCCACGGGAGTGCTACGCTTCCCAGATGTGCCAGTGAGATCGCGTCTGGAAAATCCGCCTATCTTCCATCTCTGTAGCATGGCTAATGTTCCGTGTGACCGCAGCCAATGTTTACCTGTACACTGATGAGGGTTGAATTGGTGGTGACAGACCAGGAATGAGGTCTTGTGGTTGTAGTGGATAGTTCAATGAAATTGTTGACTCAGTGTGCTGCAACAGCAAAAAAGCCAAATTCCGTCGGGGGGAATTATTGTGAAAAGGACTCAAAATAAAACAACTAGCATTATATAATGCCCTTGTCCAGATCTATGATATGGCTGCATTTGGAATACTGTGTATAGGTCTCACCACCCCGTTTTAAGAAGGATATTGTGGAGCTGGAAAAGGTTCAGAAAACCCAACCAAAATAATCAATGGGTTGGAACACTTCCTTGTAAGGAAAGGCTAAAGAGTTTGGGGCTTTTTACTTCATAAGAAAGAGGAGTAAGAGGAGAGGAACTGATACCAGTTTGTAAAATTATGCATTGTCTGGAGAAAGAGGGAGCTTTTTCTTCCTCTCCCAAAATCTACAAACTCAAGTGTACCAAGTGAAATTGCTAGGCAGCAGATTCAAGATGGGCACAAAAAAGGACTTATTTACACACTGCGTAGTGAATTTGTCGCATCAGAGCAATTTATGGAGGAAAGGTCAGTCATCAGCAGCCATGGTGGATGAATGGGGGACCTTCATGTTCACAGGCAGTATATCTTTCAATGTTGCAGGCTAGGGCAGAGCAACTGGAGAAGGCTGTGGCCCTTCTGAGGGCCTTACAGACCATCTGTCTCCCTCTGTGGGAAAGGAGATGCTGAACAATATAAACCATTAGTAGCTAGCAGAGCTGTTGTTTTTACAGCAATCGTGGAGCCAGTTTGAATTATAGGTAGCTTCTCCAACACATGTAATAAAATTCTACCACTTGGCAGAAAATTCTGACAACCAGATTAGAAAATTGTTATATGCCTCCAAAGTTCTACCACTTGACAGGAAGTAACCTCTATTCATTCACTGACATAAACTAAAGAGAAGGAGATTCCTTACCTAAAACATCGTATGCTGGAAGGATGTCCAGCTCCACAGACTCCTTCTTATTTTTTGATTGGAGAGTAAGCGACAGAGAGTGTGGTGGTCTCCCCTTTGCTTCTGGAGGTAAGATATGAACCTTGTAGGCAATAGTCCGTTCATCCCGGACCAGAGCTTGCTTCAGGGAATCAATCACACATTCAGACCTCTCCCTCTGATCGTCATAGCTGGAGAACCAGTGGAGAAACAGAATTGGATCGGCGTCTGAATTGTCCTGCAGCACTTTCCCTTGCCCTGCAGAGCCTCCCTGGAAAGAAAGCAGAAGGGCTGTTGCTCAGTATCCAGTCCATTATATAAGCTGCACTTGCCTTGTCATCAACAAGCAACAGGCACACAGGGTATCACTGTCAATGGCTTTTCCCCCCAACAGTCCTTTCAAATAGCTTCTCAAGTAAAGTGGAGTCCTTCCGTTCATCCCACCCTGTTTTTTTTTCCCCCACTGAAAAACAATGGCAAAGCTTCTGAGTTCTAGATCTTCCTCCATCCACTCTCCAGGACAGAGAAAGTCCCTAAGCTCATCCATACCTCAGTCTGGGACTCTGTTATAGTCGATCACTCCATCGGATAGTTGGAGTTACCATAATGTAACGTGTGAAAAGGAGCAGTTGGGAAAATTTTGTGCAAATGTGGATTTTTGTACACATCCTTAGGATCTATCATACCTGTAAATACATTGCTCTTTTCTCTGTGAATCAGGCAAGGGCCACATTTATATTCACACCCCATAAGGGAGAATACTAATGGGTTTTTTTTAAAGAATCTGACACGAACAATCAAGCAGCAATCTTCCTGCACAGCTACATAGTTTGTGTTTTTTTGTGTGAAATCTTCACAGTAGGATTAAGAGGCTGCCCAGGATACTGAAGAAGAAGAAGAAGAAGAGATTGGATTTATACCCCGCCCTTCACTACCCAAAGGTGTCTCAGAGCGGCTTACAAACTCCTTTCCCTTCCCCTCCCCACAACAGACACCCTGTGAGGTAAGTGGGGCTGAGAGAGCTCTTGACAGAAACTGCTCTTTCTCAAGAACAGCTCTTATCAGAACTACGGCTTGCCCAAGGTCATCCATCCAGGTGCAAGTGGAGGAGTGGGGGAATCAAACCCGGTTCTCCCAGATTAGAGTCCGCGCACTTAACCACTACACCAAACTGGTACTGAAAAGAAAGATTTCTGTAAATGAAGGTTCTTAGCCTTATTTTAGTTATGTAGGCAAATGTTTGCTTTAAAGCTCAGCATCACATGGTGCTACCAGCAGGATTAGATAAGACAGAGGATGTTATGTTGAATGAGAGTTGTGAAAAAGTTACAGGAAGTTATTTTCCTTTGCTGTAGACTCTCCTCATCTTCCATGGAAAAATGACTCCACAAAACACTAGGTCACCACTGGCAACAGCCCCTCCTGCTCTGGTGTTAACCCCTTAAGTTTCCCATTAATTGGTGAGAACTGGAGAAATGGGAGGAGGTGAGTCTCTCACTACACATTCCTAGGAGTTGCTGCCAGGTCCAACAACCCTTAACTATTTGAAAAAGTGGTGTAATAGGTGAACTATTCTCCCCAGCCACCCAAGGGACATAGTCCTTTTAAAACAGACATATGGAAATGAAAGGTCTCTTTGCCTGTCCCAAAGCAACATATTAACCACTAAATCACAGGGCTATATTGAAATGGCTACTCTTTTTGATACTAAATCTCTATATTACAGCTTTCCGACTGAACAGAAGTCTGAAGTTTATTTCCAGGTGTCAAATGAAAGCCTTGTATCCCAGCCAAAGATCACTTATGTTTATCTTTTAAGGTTTTTTTACTTAAAATCAGTCTAATTATTCTTAAAATGAGTAAAACCTTCCAAGTTGTCACTTTTGATGGTATGAGGTGAGTGCTTCTCTGAGCTTAGAAGAAATTTTCCATGGAAACATATGTTGCTTCTCTGAGCTTAGAAGAAATTTTCCACAGAAGCATATGTATCAAAACTGTGTACTATTAGATTGACTTGTTCAGAGATTTTCCCGGGCATCAATCCTTTTGTACAAAGTATCTCCCTTCCAAGGATGGAACACTGAGAGCTGAGAGAGTAAAACTTGTACATGTTTTGCAAATCTGAGAACGAAAGCAAATTTCAGGCTTGTGATTTGTTCAGCCAATACCTCTAACAAACAAGTGGCTGCAACAGAGGTTCTTAACAGACTATAGGTGAGTCTGTGTACTCTCACAGCAGTTATGCCCTTCCATCAGGTCCTAACATCTTGGGACATTAGGCAGCTTCTCAAGGAAGAAACTCTGTACCAGCCCTGGGAGCCCACTCACTACTGCAGGTTGTATAATAATCTCTTGTCTGGGGAAAGCATTAGCAGGCCCACAAGTTCCAAACAATTAGACAAGCAATTAAAGCGTTTGTGTATATTTGAGCATTCCACTTTGGGAATGGGAACAAGCACAAAGTAGTAACTTTGTACTGAGGACAATACATGATACTGGGCTTTCTAGGAGGAGAGAGGTTTGCTGGCTACAATATACCAATACACCATGACGGGGTGTGGAATGGAGTGGCCCGTCCATTGTCATTGCATTGGGAAGGTGGCAAGTGATAAGCAACTGGAATCTTCCAGCCCAGTTACAGGGTTGCCAGGAACCCCTGCTTTTGTGGGGTGTTCCCCTCGCTGCCGGCCAGCTGGCAGATGGGGGGAAATGCCACCCCCAAGTGGCCCGAAAGGTGTTGTGACAATGTCACCCAGACCTGGCGTCATCATGTCACCAACGTCACACAGTGACACTCTAGTTTTGGGGCAAAATCACCTACAAACAACTGCAGCAGCAGTGCTCAAGCTTTCCTTTTGCATACTTCCTCCTCCCCTCTCTTCCTTTCACAACATAATGTGATCTCATTGTCAAAGAAGGGCCAAGGGTCCTCTTTGTGGAAACACATCAGGCCCACAGCCAGGAACTCTTTGTTAAAGGGGTCTATGAAGGGATACCTAATTATCAGGCAATACAAAACAGGCATGCTTGTAGTTACAGATATAAGTCAGATATTTACTACCCATATATGTACAACAGCAGCTGCAACTTCTCTCTCACATTTTTATGCTGTCCTTACTGTAAGAAACTCAGGGCAGCTTGTGCTGCTGTCTAATCCTCTCCTGTATCATTACAACAATCCTGTGAGGTAGGTAAAACTGAGGGAGAGACTAGCCGAAGCCATTCAGTGAACTTTATGATTCAGTAGAAATTTGAAGCCAGGTCTCCCCAGTCCTAGTCCAACACTCTAACCACTATGCCAAATTCAGGTAGAGATGCCTTTTTAAATGAACATGTTGTTTAAAAATATTTTCTTGCATACAGCTTCAGCCACACGGTGAAGATCCTCATGTTCTAGTGGCAGGTGCTGCCAAAAGCATTTTTTTAAAGTCTGCACAGCCAATGAGATCTCCAATGGCCAATCAGAAGCCCTGCTGAGCAAAGGCCTCACCCGGCCCCACCCACTTTGTAAAAATAATTGGCTGGGACCAAGGAACCCATGGGCACCACGCTGGAGACCTCTGCGCAACACAATGCTGCCACGTGTGGCAGAATCCTAGGCATATGTAGCCGGGAGTAAGCCCTGCTGTCACTGTGGGAATCGCTTCCAAGTAAACATGCACAGGATTTCAGTGTCAGCCTCAGAAGTGCCTTCATTCTGTTTTAAGTCCATTATAAACGGCCAGCTGAGCCTTTTCAATCACAGTGTTTACTCTAATGCAAGACTAGGTTTTGCTCTCAGATATGCCCCCCCAAAAAGAGGGGGTTGACTTATATTTGCATACAAGTTACAGTTATGTCCACTATTTCTTTTTCTTGGCGTATAACTTTTTAAAGGGATGGTTGTCTTACATTCACTGTCATCTCCCTTTAAAGTGACTACGCTATGCCCTGCCCTCTCTCTCTCATTGCCCTTTCCTCACTTTGCATACAGCCTGACGAAGAGTTCTTAGGAACTCCAGTGTTTGTTCATATCCTTGGTTGCTTATGCTATTGTTGCAAGGCGGGAGAGGAAGGGAATCTGTCTCTCGTTATTGAACCTTTTCACCCTTGCGGTGACTCAGCACAGGACTCTAAGCCTCCCGCTGCTGTGCTGGGTGGAGCTGGGGCAGATGTGTTGCTCTCGCCTTCCTTCACATATCTAGAGTCAAGAGGACATAAGAAGAGCCTTGCTGGATCAGACCAGTGGTCTATCTAGTCCAGCATCCTGTCTCACACAGTGGGCAGCCAGTTCCTCTGGAAGGCCAACAACAGGGCCTCCCGGCACCGGGCTTCAGAGGCTGACTGATGTTACCTCCTGGCACTGGCCTTCAGAGGCTCACTGCCTCTGAACTTGGATGTTCCCTTTAGTCACCATAGCTGGTAGCCCTGACAGACCTCTCATCCATGAATCTATCTAATCCCCTTTTAAATAGATTCATGGAGGACAGGTCTCTCAGTGGCTACTAGCCATGGTGACTAAAGGGTGGGGGGTTACCATAAAGACACAAAGTATGACAGCTGCATTGTGGGAAAGAAGCAAAGGAATACATGACTGCCCAGAGCTCCAATCTTCTGTTGTGGTAGAAGCAGAAAAAAACAGCTCCTTTGCCTGAGAAGCTCAATTTCAGCTTCCCAAGCCCCCTCCAATGCTGCTGCTATTATGTGACATGAGGGCCAAAGAAGTGTCCATTAGTGAAAATCGGCCATTTGTCAGGGATCCCCTGGACACACCCAGGGCCCCTGGAGCAGAGGAAACAGAGAGCCCGGATAGAGGCTTTGCTCTGTTGCTGGAGTGCCCAGCTGCCTGCTCGGGACTTCTCTTCTGCCCAAAAGGTTTGTGTCAATTGAGATCCATCATGAGGTTCTGCAGGATGTTGCACTAAGTACATCTGTAAAGTACCAGCAGGATTCTGACCCTGGTGACAGCTGTATGCACTCACCTTGGGGGAGAAAAAGGCTCATTCCTGCCAAGGTGATCGTTGGATCAAAAACTCTACTAGAGCTTGCTACTGACTACCCAATTTGATGTTTGCTCTTTCTTCAGTCTGCCTGTGCTTCAAAAGCCCTGACCTGTACCCATCCTCTCCTCCTGCAGGTAGCCTGAAGCCTCTCCACACCACTAGAGCTTGCTACTGACTACCCAATTTGATGTTTGCCTTTCTTCAGTCTGCCTGCGCTTAAAAAGCCCTGACCTGTACCCATCCTCTCTTCCTGCAGGTAGCCTGAAGCCTTTCCACAGCTGCCCTTCTCAGCCTTGTCATCTTGCAGGCCCATCACTGACCTTTGAAGGCTGCAGTGATCAAGTCTGGACCCACCCTTGAAATTGGTCCATATTTACTTCCTGCTGGAGCATCAGAAGTCTCCCGATGCCAGCCAAACTCTGTGGGGAGCCCTGACCAGCCACACACAGATTTTTTTTCTTTTTTTAAAAAGGTGCCTGGCTTCCTTAGATGGCTGTCAGCTACCCTAGAAATTACACGAGGTATGAATCAAAGAAGTTGTCCTTTTAAGATGGTTAAGTTTAGTTATGTTGCCAGATTCAAGTCTTGAAAAAGACTGTAAATGAATCTGACAGCATTTGATAACCTGAAGGCAACCTCTGAGGGCTGAACATGTCCGTGTCCTGTATGTGTAAAACCAGCTTCCTGACAACTTACTCATATGCAGTTTGAGAATCTGCTCTCTTTATACAGCTTTGACTTAATGCACTTTTCACTTTTCTTAAGAACTCCATAGACTTCTTTCCACAACTTGCTTATGAGTCAGGTCACTGACGCATAAATGGTTGCAGGCCACTGACTCATAGGCCGTTGGAAAATGCAAGTCATCTTCCTGAGAGTATAGTTAGATGAGAGGCTGTGTTTAAATTTAAAAAGGATGTCCAGTATCCCATATATGCTGCCCAAAACACCACCATCCATATATGAGTCAGGTCACTGACTCATAAATGGTTGCAGGCCACTGACTCATAGGCCGTTGGAAAATGCAAGTCATCTTCCTGAGAGTATAGTTAGATGAGAGGCTGTGTTTAAATTTAAAAAGGATGTCCAGTATCCCATATATGCTGCCCAAAACCACACCACCATCTATGATGGAATATGGCTAACCTCTGCAGGGAAGATTCTTTGGGAAGATGCTTGATGGATCTTTTGCCATAAAGATGCCTCCACTGGCAGATTTACTTGTGAGCAGTGTTCCCTCTAAGCTGAGTTAGTGTGAGCTAGCTCACAGGTTTTTAGCCTCTGGCTCACAGATTTTTGTCTTAGCTCAGGAAGGATGGCTCCAGAGCAAACTAATTTATGCAGTAGCCAAATTGCTCACTCACAACTTTAATGCCAGTAGCTCACAAAGTAGAATTTTTGCCCACAAGACTCCACAGCTTAGAGGGAGCCACGTTGGGAACACACTTTGAGTTTTTCCACCTTAGGTGCTGATAACTGTGTGTGAGTTGTTGGTATTATTGGCTCTGAAGCCACCAACGACTGTCCTTGGGAAGACGTTCCACTGATGTCAGCAGAACTTAGTTCTGAGTAAGCATGTATATTATCACATTGTTAAGAATTCTGGGCCAAACTAGATGTTCAGGGTTTTTTTTAAGAGTTGGGTCTGGATTTCTATTGGCTATTTAAAAATGGATATTTGGAAATAAAGCTAAGCTCATTTCAGTTCCAAACGCTGCTGTGGGGTGGGAAAGGTCTCCTTAACTGTTGTGGGAAGAGCTCTTCTTACCCAGGCGGTGGTGTTTGGAAAGGTCTCTGCTTTGTTTCTAAATAGCTATTCCCCACTGCTGCTATGGACTGTGGGGAATCTGAGTGGGTCCAAGAAAGCTGGACCCAACTGTTTAAAAAAGCTAATGTACGGTTTGGCCCTCTAACTAAATTGTTAGAGCCAAACTCCCCATGATGAGGGCATCCAGGATGTGTGTGTCTACCTTTCTCCCCTCCCCCCAGCAAAATGGAGTAACAGGTGAGGGGAGAGGAACCTTCCTTTGCCTTACCTCTTGCTAGTGCTTCATCACCCAAACACTTTGCTCCCAAGCTGGCTCCTGTACTGAACCAGATGGATATAGAGAAGATGTTTTAAACAATGGACTACAGAGAGGTACGACAAGGAGGAGCCAACTCCTCCTACTCCCGCTTATCTGTAAATAGGACAGATGTGAATAAGCAAATGTGCAGACCCATAGACAGAAATGTTACAGCAAGGGACTATAAGTATACTGGGGGAGGGAGTGCAGGGTTGCCAGAATCCCATCTTCCTAAACTCTGGAACTCATTGGGTGGGGCCTCATAATGTCATGAGTAGATATGAGGTGGGGCCTGGTGATGCCTCACTAAACAGTTGTATGAACAGCGGTATTTCCATGCACCACTATGTGTGTACCGCACAATATCAGTGCATAGTCACAATCAAGTGGTTATGAAGCAATGGGCTGTTCACTAGACTGAAAAAAAAAATGGCATGGACATTAACTATGTCCTAAATGTAAAGTATAGTTGAGCTTTTTAGTGTCAATTATTGCTTCCTACCACCAATTTACATGTGCAGCTGTCATCATAAGGAGGGATGCATAGAAGTCCTTGAAGACATCTGGAGGTCCAAACATATAAGACCAGTTATGGCCCACCTGCGTTGGCTGTCTGTATGTTTCCGGTCCCAATTCAAGGTGCTGGTCTCAACCTATAAAGCCCTACACAGCTTGGGACCACAATACCTGTTGGACTGCCTCTCCCAACTACAATCTACCCAGACACTACACTCAACTTCTGGGGCCTTCCTCTGAGTGCCAACCCCTTGAGAGGCTCGGGGGGTGGCAAATAGGGAAAGGGCCTTTTGGTGGTGCCTCCCCCGTTTTTGGAACAACCTCCCTGCTGTGGCCTGCCTGGCGCCAAATTTGCCATCTTTTCAGTGCCAAGACAAGACAGCCCTCTTTACAGAGGCCTTTAAAGACCTCCCGGGTCATGCAGGATCCAGATGTGATTAGCCAGGTGTGTTTTTTGTCACTTTGGATTAGATCTTTCTGGGCCAGGTGTATTGTTTTTTAATGTTTTATGTTATTTTAAATTAATTTTAATGTTTTTATGTATTTTATTGTTTTATATTTGATATAGACTGCTCAGAGAGCTTCAGCTATGGGCGGTACACAAATCATCATCATCATCTGCGATATGGCACACCATCAGCTATCCAGGGAAAAGTTATTTGCTTCTGACCATGCTATGAATTCTTCGTTGATTTCATGAATATACCTACATTCTTTCCTCAAGAGATGTTGCAAGGGATAAGACTGCTGGGCAGGATTCAATACAGCACTGACTGGGTGGGGCAGACTGCAATTAATTGGTGTCTTAATTGATCAAATGGGAAATCCCTAAATTACACATGCCTGCAAACCACTTCTTCAAACCTAGAAATTATCCACTAACCCCAAGTAAAGAGATGCAAGTAGCTAGTGTGCAGTGAAGGAAAAGCATTCTGCACATGTGCAGAGTGTTTGTAGTCTCAGCATTCAGAGAACTGATTTTTTTTGGCAGAGATTTATTTAGATCCTCTGAAAGACCTCGCTTTTCAGTAGTGAGAGGTGATTGCCTAGACATAGCTCTTTAGCCTTCTGCCGTAAAGTACAATATTTCTTTTTCGGTTGTGAAGGTTCTGGAGTCAGACAGCTGGAGCTTTATGCCTCTGCAGTCCTTTAGCCCTGAGCCCAGATTTTTGATAGGAAGAAGAGGAATTTGACAGTGGCAATTCAGTTAGGAAGGAGGCATTCTGCATGTTTATTTACAAAGCCAAGTTACAGTAAAGTGGCTTGCAATTAATCATTAAAACCAGCTACCAGGCTGAGTGAGCATTTATTTTTCCTGCTTCTCCCCACCCTATGGCCCCACCTCCAGAGTATCTCCCCCTCCAGAGATACTTTAAAAAGCAAAACCAAACAAAAACCGCATGAAATTCAGAACTGGGGGTGGGGGTGGGGCCAGGAGGGACTGCTTTCAAATGCTACCCTGAAACTCAAGGTCTCCAATATGGTTGCCACGATGTTTAATTTGATCTAATAGAAGAAAATGGAGAGAGAGAAACTGGTGGCTACATTATGCTCTCAGCATTCATTCTGCTGTTCTGTTTTGACGAAAATGAGATACTTTTGATTCCTATAGCTCCACTGCCTATTAACACTGATCTGGTGCAGTGCTCATGCTGCTAGAGAACAAATTGTTTAGAAAGGGAGCATCTGGAAGGGGGGGCCAATTTGGTCACCAAGGTAACGATAAACGACGGAAAGCTAGTCTTCCAAGTAACAAACACAAGCATTGGTTAGGGGTTCTCAGGCAGCCGGGTGTTAATCAGCCCTCCCCCCATCGACCACATTTTGCGAGCCTCATCTGGTACTGGCTTTTGCTGCCCATCTCCCCCGCCCCCCTCAATAAGGATCAGTGCTAATTTTATCTGCATTGGGTTTCTAATGATCGGATATTAACTCTGCGCGGAACCTGCCTCGAGATCTCTTTGCTAATAAGGAAAATAAACAGCGTCACCGGGGCTGGAGCATATAAGTCAATCGTGCTGCTCGCCTGCCTAGGAAATGTGAAGCTGCCATTCCTTCTGGAAGTGGGACAGACTCACCTTTACCAGCTTGATTACTCTGGCCTCTATGGAGAAATTCTTTTTCAAGTAATTGCAGATTCGTTGCACAGCAGCTTGGACGTTCTCAAGAAACTCCTCGCTAGGCTGGAGATGGGCCGCAATCCACCCATCCAGCTCGCAAGAGGAGACTCGGTAGAGTTCCATGGCTCCCGACTGGCACCTTCTATTCCTACGCCGCTTGTGTCAGGCGCGGCCAGCTCGGTTCTTCTCATATGATTGTTTGAGACGGAGGTCATGTGCGAGCAGTTAAGGTAGAGTACACTGTCATTTTTGCAACATTTCCCCACTATCTGCTTTCAATATAAAATATGAAAAATGCATATATTGTAGTGGGGAGGGACAGAAAACAATATAATAAAAGAACCTTTGTAGTCTCCTTATTAGAAAGTTTCCTTTAAAAAAAAAAGGCAGATAAAAATTTGCAAAATAAAATTAAGACTGGGATTGCATTGCTATTGGTATTTGTTTAGAATTTTGAACTTCTGTGTTCTTGAACATTTATCTGGTCCCAAAATAAGATTTCAGCTTGCTTTCAAAGCCCTGTGAAAATCCACCTTAAGAAAAATTCAGAGTCCAGGAAGTGGTATTGAAGCGACGTAGACAAAGGGTCACTTCCGCTCAGCACGGAGCGTAGCTGAAGCAAGGTGGTGGTGGGGGGAATCTTTGACGTTCCGAGTGGGAAATTCCGAGTAAGAAATACTAGGACTACTCCCTCATTAGACATTCTGTTTAAGCTTGTTATAAGCGGACAATCATGGCTGGCACGTTAAGTAAATAATCGTTTCTTCTTTACCGGAAATAAAAACACAAGGACGGGAATAAAAGGTCATCGGCTGCAAGACAGTGGTAAGGGATTGCAGCGTGAGAGTTTTGTACACTCAGAGGATAATGGCTAAATCCCGGGGGAGAGTAAGTAGGGAAGAGTTTTTTTTCTTTATACAGCACGCACACAGCCACACACCTAATCTGTAGTTTACTGTAGCAAACAATCCGGAGTATCTGAAGAAGTGTGCATGAACATGAAAGTTTATACCCAGAATTAAACTTTGTTGGTCTGAAAGGTGCCACTGGACTCGAATTTAGTTCTAATCCGGAGTACCGAAAGCGCTATAATGCTTTAATCAGCGTTTAATTACCCTTGCAAAACATCTTGAGAACGTTCTACGGAGTCCGGGATTCAAATGTTTTAAATAGATATCCTTTGCACTCTACTCAGTGAATGATTCAGTTTCACTAGCAGTATGCCCAGGTACAGATCAAGTTATTTTTTTGGGGGGGAGTACATATTGGGATGTACAACTTTTCTCCAGTGTATTTAAATAGAGCCCGTGTAAGTCAGTAGGCCTTTCTTCTTTCAATAGGCCTTCTTCAGGCATCTTGTCATTTGTTAAAACAACAGGACACAAGGAATGCAGGAATGAGGAGTGGTTAGGGCATTGCCAGGGCAGCCCACATCCTTAAAAAGTGGCATGGCTTAAAACTGGTCAGTGGGCTCTCGCACATGCACCAACATCAACAAAAAGTTATTTTAAAACAAAGCTTAGCTCTTCACTGCCTTCTACTGGTTAACAAGTACTCCCTCAAGATTGAAATCTTAATAATAATAACTAGTATAAGATTAGCAGGCAATACCACCCTAATGGCAGAAAGTGAAGAGGCATGCGCAGTGGGGTTCCCCTGCGTTCCTGGAAGAGAGGCGCGAAAATCCCTTTGTGAGCTTTGCATAGCACCGATAGGGATCAGCGCAGGCGCATAATCCCATGGGTGTGATGCACAGAGACCACGAAGATCCAGCAGAAACAAACTCCTAGTAACTCTCTTTATTACTGCCCCCTGCCGCATCATATGTGTGTTTAGTTGTATAGGTTAATATTAAAGCAAGCGTAACTTAATGAGGAAATATTAATGCTCAGTCTGCAGAGTAAATATATTTGGATAACAATTTATGTTCATTTAACCAGTCTCTGATATTTTGTTCCAAAATAAAGCAAATTTGTAACCAATTGTCATGTACTGCAATCTTTCCCCCTCCCCCCATGTATACAATTAGGATTGGAACACCTTCGTGAAGAGAAAAATTCCCCAAACTGTTGGGTTGGGGTTGTCTTGAGTTTGCTGCTTTCATGCTCAACACAGGAGCCAAAGTGTTGGATAGTAATATCAGGTTCTGAGTACAGAATTTGTAAGCTGTTTGTAGTCCTGCATTTCGGTTATGATATTACACTAACACAAGCATTTTAAAAACAATTTCATGGTACAGAAATCATACCCCATTTATATCTCGCATATAAAGTGTAACCTGCTAATATTATTTAATCAGCTTGATGGAAACTGTTAATCATCTTTTGTGTTTTTCAGTTTTTCACAGCAAGCCTACTCAGGTGTATCTTTGGCTTTAGCTGCAGCAATTAGATTCACCCACAGTTTTCTAATGTATTGTTTCTTACAGCAGGTGACCAATGATTTGTACTCTTTTTTTTTTTGTACCGAAAGTAGATGATATGCTTCCTGTCTAGTCTCATTTCTCGCTCTCTGCGCTGCCTTGTAGGCATGAATTAAAGCCTTTTTTTGCTTGGATACAACTTTGATCCAACCATGGTTTTGACGGAATGTTCATCTTGGCTGGTTTTCCTTTTGAAGGGCAGACCAAAAACGTCCTCAGCCTCTGTACCAGGTCGTCATACATTTTTAGGGGGTCATTTGCATCTAAGTGGGCCTTAAATACTTGACAGAGCGACTGCAGGTTTTCAGTTGTCAGAATTTCCTTTACCTTTAGTTCTAACATAGGGGACCATCTCACCTGACGACCATAACATTCCAACAAAGGGTAATGTATAGGCTGTATGGATTGTAGTACTTCAGTACCTAAACAGGTCTGCAAGAGTAAAGGAAAGTGGTCTCCCTCAAGGTAAGGAAGAATTTGAAAGCTAGGCACCTGTGAAAGCAAGGCACTATCGACCATCATGTAATCAACTGTACTGGTTCTCATCCCGGCCATGAATGTAAATTCACCAGGGATGTCTCCTCTGATCGAACCATTTAAGATGAACATGCTTAATCTGGACACAAATTTTGTTAACAGAACCCCTGCATAATTTGCATTCTTATCTTTGGATCTTTGTGGTTGATAAATATGACTTCTGACCTCTTCCGAAGTCATCTTATATTTTGTTGCCAAGGAAAAGTCATCAGGTCCTAGTCGCGCATTTAAGTCACCAGCCACCAGAACCTTAGCTTCAGGGTAGTTAACAATGAGAGACTTCACATATTGCTCTAGCCTCCACCAGTTTTCTTCTATTGTTAGATGGTGGGAGATAGGAATTTATAATCAAAAGGCTGCCCCCAGTCCAAGTCATAATGACAGTGTATCTATGATCATGTGCAAATTCCTGGGGGGGCCCAACTGGCACTCTGTCATGTGGCTTGAAGTATCATGTGGGAAGATCAGTATTTTCCATTGATGCTTTTAACTCCTATCTGCTGAGTTTCAAAAGATTGTATGCAGCAAGCTTGGGCCAAACCAGACAAGATATTGGGAGTTGTGTTGTTGTTGTTTTAACGTAATAATCAAGCATATGGGAAGATGGGAGTGCAGTTCCAATAGAGTTTGTGACACAATGGGAAAGTGGTGGTTCTTTTCCCTCTGGGCCATTTTGTCAATGTGAAATGACCTCGGAGGAGTTGCTGTGTGTCCCCTTTTGGGAAAATATATGGGTGTAGACACATGTACCTGTATATTTGCCCCAGCAGGGCAAAAATCAGCACCTCAGGGCCATTTCAGGTTGGAAATCAGCAGGCTTTCACACTACAATCCCAGCTGGAATTAGGACCCTGCAGATCTCGCATTTTTAAAAGAATGTTGGGTGCTTTGATCATAATACCTCAGTGTCTCATTTGGTTGGTCCACTTCCTGCCCAGCAATTGCTGAAACTGACCACTATGTAGTGATAATATAAGACATCTCAAAGGGTTGTCTTTATCACAGCAAGCCTCCCCAGGTGCACTGATGATGTTCGAATTCCTCAGATCCCCACCTCACTCTGGCCTATGGCTGGAAGCATCACATGAAAAGGCTGAGAACGTCCCTGCCAGTCATGTAGCCTACTGCCAAAGTTGCTACCTTTCCCACAAGCTCATGTGCTTTTAGGAGCAACTTAACAGGCTGAAATAAAGCAGGTGAAGAATTTCATTGGGACCATCTGAGCAGTAGAGCACTTACTTGGTATGGCAGTCCAAGGTTAACCCTTTGGCAGCTCCCGTTAAAGGAGGTTAGGTAACAAACAGTTGGTATAAAAAGACCTTACCTGTCAGAGATAATATTGAGGTAAGTGGACCAATTGGGGGGGGGGGGACTGTGTAAGATAATGGCATATATTTATTTCCCACTGTTTTCTATCCAAGCAAAAGCTTCCCTTGCTATATTTCTGCCTATGGGGCCGCTATTCATGTCATAGAACCACAGAAACCAATGACATGCTCTAAGAAAAACAACATCCAGATTTAAATATGTAGTTATCCAAGCAATTAGGGATATCCTGTAAAACTAGGACAGGAAAATATCTAGGTGTATGGATACAGGAAAATAGCAAGATAATAAGTTGTTACAACCACACAATATTATTGACTAAAGTATCAGGTAAAATGGAATTTTGGTCTAGATTACCTTGGTCGTGGCTGGGCTGAATAGTTTGGCTCAAAATGTCTGTTTTGCAAAAAATACTGTATTTATGAATCTACCTCTATAGGCTATCTTAAAATCTGTATGGGAACAGACTATGTTGAACTAGTCAATGTAATACTAGCAGCTGCAAGAAAATGTATTGCTGCAAAATGGAAGACTGAAATCTTGCCTTCAATGATGGACTGGTATAGAAGAATCTGGAATATCATGACAAAGTTTGCGTCTGGTGGTACTTTTAAGACGAACAAAGTTTTATTCAAAGTGTAAGCTTTCGTGTGCAATGCACAAGTCTTTATCACAGCACACAAAAGCTTACACTTTGAATAAAACTTTGCTGGTTTTAAAGGTGCCACTGGACTCAAACTGTGTTCTGCTGCTTCAGACCAACATGGCTACCCACCTGGAATATCATGTTGTTAAGAAAGCAAAGAGAAAGAAAGAAAAAAAATCAAAATAATATATCTGTAAAAAACTGGATACAGTTCATCACATACTGGAAGAAGTTGTTTCTGGATAACATACAGCCTTATGTATCATTTGATTTAAAGAAATTATTTAGAAAGAAAAAAACAAGAATGGATTCCCACCAGAATTATTTTGATACACAATCAGTGCAGAGAGCTTGTGGCCCACTAGGTGGCAGCAATCCCTAGCTGGGCTTTGTGAAACTAGATCTCTTGTATTGTGCTCAATAGAATAATTTTTTTAAGTGACAGGTCTTTGTCTGACACTAATAAATGTTCTGTTTCTAGCTTGGACAGAGAATGTAGTCATCTGAAATAGATTATGAGCTCTCTTCACTGTTGGCTTCCTGCGTCTTATGGAAAATCGCACCCCAAGTTAAAATGACTGCTTCAGTCTGTTTACACGTCCCCTCCTCAGAGGACCCAGCATGCTTTACTGGTTGTCCCAAGAGGTTTGTTGCCATTCATGCACTGACAGTTTCTAAAGACAATCTCAGTCCAAACCTACAGCTTGCTTCTAACACCTCCTCCTGCTTCCCACCTCCTTAACATTAATTTTCTGTCTTTTTATTTATTTTTACCAGAGGCACATGATAAAATAATTATTTGCTAAGGACCCTGTGCCCACTTTAGGTTTCCATATGGGGATTTTCAGGGGCTATTGTGTAGGTCAGGTGTCCCCAGCCTTTTTGAGCCTGCGGGCTCCTCTGGAATTCTGGTGTGTGCATCCACAAGCTGTCTACTCCTAGAGGCGAAACCGACCACACCAGTGCCCATTTAGAAGTTTGTGAGGTTCTCTTAAGACTAAACTGTACTTGGATTTGCCATTTCTGGCTGCAGGTGGAGGACTGTATGATTGCTTCCTCATGAGAAAAAAATGGTTCTTCGACACAAAAAATAAACCCCCTTGTCTCTCACAACTGATTAGATTACTGTAATGTGGACTTGTCCTTGAGCACAGTTTGGAAACTCCAGCTGTGTTGCCACAAGACCTTGGCAAAGGCAGAAGGATCCTATTTACTTAATAGTGGAATAGTTATGCTGGCTCCATCTCTTTCTAGGCCACCCCCCCGAGTAGTTTTAGCCTTTAAAGCCCTAAATCAGAGGTTCCCGAACTTATTTGGCCTACTGCCCATTTTTCAGGGAAAAAATTACTCAGCACCCCCCTGGAAATCTACCTTCAAGAACTGGACAAAAAGATGCAGTGACAAATTGGCATATGGTAAATAAAGATGTTGGCCTGAAGCCAGAGGCCAGCAGCAACCACCACACAATAGCCCGGCAGCAACACCAGTCTTACAAGGGTGCACATGCATTTGCAAATGCATGACTGTGATTGGCTGTGGGGACCCCTCTCCCCCTCCCTCCCTGATCCCAGGGAAGACCAGGAGAAGGCAGGAAAGGGCTGCTTTAGATGGGTTCTGGACTCTTCTTTCTTTATGCTTCCACTGCCCCCTTATTTTTATTCAACGCCCCCCAATTGCACCCAGGGCTCCTACTGCCCACCTGGATCGTCCCAGCACCCCCCAGGGGGCAGTATTGCCCACTTTGGGAACCAGTGCCCTAAATGGTTTAGGGAATCTCAGAGAGTGTCCACTACCATATTAAAACCAGAGATCAGCGAATGAGGCCCTGCTTCAGGTTCCATTGTTCAGGAAGGCCACTTTGGCCTGCATGTACAACTGGGCCTTTTCAGTGGCCTGAGAAGTAAAATGTTTTCCCTGAAAGATTTACCTGTTCAATCTTTAAAAAATATTTGTATTCAGAATGGCCTTTTAAAATATCGATTACATCCTCTTACGGATTTAAATGTTACTGTTATGTCATAAATATGTGAGTATTTATGAATAGTATTTTGTAATAGTTGATACTGTTGTATTTTTGAAGTGGCTAAAACGTAGCCTATAAATTCTGGCAAATAAACCTAGTTTTATTGGGTGTAGGGAGTTTTTGCACCAGCGCAATCATACAACTATCTAAAGTGGAGAGTCCAGGAACAGTTTTACCATGTGATGAGTTATTGTCTATTGAGGAAAATCCCCAGTTCTTTGTTGTCTGGCTTTTAGTAACAAGAAGTTAGCATGGAGGCTTGTTTTGACTACCCTGGCTGGTAGCCATGGATAGACCATAGATTCTGAAATCATGTGTTTTATGTATTTATTTTGGCAGTTTATACCCTACCACATAGCTTTATAGAGCCTTCAGGGTGGTTTACAGCAGGGGTTCCAAACCTTTTTGAGCCTGTGAGCACCTTTGGAATTCTGACACAGGGTAGTGGGCATGAAGGGTTGCCAACCTCCAGATGGTGGCTGGAGATCAATCTCCTGGGATTACAATATATCTCCAGGTGACAGAGAACAGTTAACTGGAGAAAATGGTTGCTTTGCAAGGTGGACTCTATGGCACTGTACTCAACTGAAGTTCCTCCCCTCACCCCACGCCCTTCAAGCTCCACCCCCAAAATCTCCAGGTATTTCCCAATCCAAAACTGGCAATCTTATGGGCACAATGTACACCAAGGAAGCCCAAATGGCAGGAGAGGAGAGAGATAATTTAAAAATACACTAGAAAAGAGGGGTGAGAGAGAATAAAACAAGCACTGTGGTGGCACCTGCCACTGAAACGATGTTAATTTAATCTGCATACAGATCTTCAGTGGCCAGTGGCAAGAGGCCACCCACTTTCTAAAAAACTTGCTGAACGCCAAGGAAGATGTTTGCAGGTGCCATGGTGCAAAGTATTGTAAAATAACCTTTTAAAATACACGAAATGTGTGTTCATATTTGTCCTGTTTTAGAGCAGCAATTTATCTCATAACTGAAAATATCACAATGAAGCAGTCTATGTGTAGACTATTTGCAAGTTGTTCCAAGTATTTTATGCAGATAAGTCCTTGAGTCTACACAAGTAAAAATGTAAACTCAGAGGCCTAGAGCACGGACAATAAAAGCAGAGAACTATCTCATTTGTTAGAGTTTCATACAGTGTCAGGATTAAGATTTCTGATGGAAATCGAGATAACCACTATTTTGAGCGTGTCAAGCTTCCCTCACTGATGGTGTGAGTTAGTCAGGGAATTCCCAAGAATGTCACATGTGCATCATGGAGTCCAGAGGGAGACAGGCTGCAAGACTCGTTTTCCCGTTATGAGTACTACCCTTTTACAATGAACTGAATAGTGAACCATTTGTTTCATGAACCCTCTGGGCTCCAATCTTCTCATTGGTTCCTTATTGGATGGCTGCCTTCAGCTGGAATGGTGAGTACTGACCATACCTTCTCATACCCTGTGGAACTGCTCTTAGGCCTCAAACAATAAAATAAGGACAGGCAGAGCCTTGCTTCCCGTGCCCCAGTACACTATAAGAACATACTGCTGCTACCAGGCCAAAACATGGAGGTACATTTGGTTCTGGAGCTCCTTATTTTTCTTCAAAATTAAGAAGCAGCACAGAGAGCTCAGGTGTCCTGAAACGCCTGGGAAATGGCTGCATCATTCTTGCCTCTTCACAAAAGCGCCTCAGCAGGAGTTCCTAAAATGGAGGATTCAAAAGGAGCTGAAACTCGATGACTTTTTCTGTGTAGGCCCCCAGTGTGGGACTGGCTTTTCAAACTTTGCAACAGGTGGTCTTTGGCTAATGGCTTGGGCCCAAGAACAGATTTCTTCCCTACCACCGAAACTTGGTTCGTCGTCCTTTGCCTACCAAGAACAAAAGGACACAGAGACTGGTTCTGAGGAGGGGCTGCTTGTCTGCTGCACAACTGATGTGAGCATACAGATATGAATAGGCTATGGCTAGGCCAGAGCCTCAGCTGTATCCAGTGACCCTTATCCATCCCCAGTACCCACTGATCTCCCACAACTGGAAGATATCCCCCACACGCGCTACTCACAGCAGGGATCTTCCCCATATTGGCTTGTCACCTGAGAGGCTGACAAACAATAATGCAATGAACAGATGAAATGGAGTATGCTGCACAGTCCCTCATCTATTTCCTCTGTTGTTATCATCACCACAGTCCCATACAACATCTTAATACACACTTGTCCAGGAAATGTCAGCCAGAAATGTACCCATGGTCCTTTGGGCAACAGCAGCCCCGCCCCCTCCTGTCAGAGGCTAAATCCTGTTGGGCCACCTGGTGGTGGATTTACATTCATCAGTAAACAGTCTGTTAATAAATATATCAGTGGTTTTGTTATGTCTCTGGCAGTGAAGAGCACAATGCTACACGTATGCACACCTGGTGGGGTAGGTTTGGCTATGGGAAGAAGAGGGTTAACACCCTGTGTATTGAGAAAGAGTCCTAGACAGGGGATTTGCCTGTTACAGAAAGAGGCATCAGGGAGCTGCTCTGTTCAGAGGAAGATGTCCAAGTTACAACTAGAAGCTTCAGAGCTGGAGAGTTCCTCAGTCTCAAGATTACACCTTGATGGCTAGCAGTGGATACCATTGCAAGCAAGAATTTTAGCCAGCTTTACTTCCTGCTTCTCAGTTCGTTTGGAGACTGGTAGCCTCCATCTTTGGTTGTGCATTACGGAAGTGGCCAAGGGTTGCAGAGTTCCCCACTTCTGTCGGGTTGTTGTGCACCTGGTTCTAAAAAAAATGGATGCTAAAATCGCTATGACAACAACACTTCCCCTACAAACTACACAAGCAGCAGCCAGAAGTATCAGGCCTGTGTGGAAGGGAGCCCTCTTCAGTCAACCATAGAAGCTCTCTCTGCCTCCCCTTTTCTCACACTCACACCCTGCTCCCCTGGCCCCCCGCCAGAACAGAGATTGTCCATTTTATGTTCTTCATAGGTCACCAGATGTCAGTGCTCCTGGGTTCTCGCTCAGCACGGGGCACTTCATGCATTCTCCGACTGCGGGCTTTTCGCTTCTCCCCCAGGTGCTTCCACTTTTGATTCTTGGCCTTGACACTAAGTGGAGGGGGTAGCGGTGGCTTCTTCTTGGGCTGGTGGCTCTTGTGGCTCCACAGCTGCTCACACACCTGGTCCATGGTGCTGAGATTGGGATGATCCACTAGCTGCAGGAAATCCTGGTACCAGAGCTTGCGATGGAAGGGCTGTGTGGGTTCCTCTTCCCAGGAGAAGGAGAGGGACTCAGCCTGCTGGGCATGGATCACTTCAAGCTGAAGGTGCAGCAAATTCTGTGTGAAGCCATGTTCTGTGGCATGACAGTGGTAGAGGCCAGCATCTTTGCGCTGCACGCTGCGCAACAGGATTCCCCGCTCCATCTTCATGACTCGATCATCCAGCAATACCTACAGGTTAACATGGAGGAATGGAGATGAGAACAGGAGAAAGGATGTCAGGATGGCTGGAAGGGTGAGATGAGGCAGGCAAGAACAATGGCTGAGGAGTCTGGAGTAGGAAGGTCCCCTCAATGGCACTTCTCAGTGCCTGCTTGGAGACAAGACTATCAACAAAGGGATTCAAGGTGGGCAAAGAGCCTCAGAAAGGAAATGCAAAAGGAGATGGGTGCCAGCGCATCTTGCACAATGTATTGCACGTATGGCATTCGCTGGAATGGAAGCAGGAAGATATTTGAGAGACAGGAAAAGCTGAAAAGGCACCTCCCTCCAGAAGGACAGGTGACATGGCTTCAGGAAGAATCAGGTGATTCTATCAGTCTTGCTTCTCATTTTCCCCACCTACTCTACATGCACACAGTTGCGAAGCTCATACCTCCTTCTGGATGGCACTGCTAGTTTTCTGGTATGTCCATAAAATCTGGGCCTTCAGTGACTTAGGGAGGCATTCCAGGAAGACACTGCTGCCTTCCACTCCAAAAACCTTCTTTTCAGGCACACTACTTCGCTGGGGATCTGCACACAGATAACACAAAGTCTGGCTCTTGCGTCTGATTTACACTTAACACGTACAAGTGAGGGAAAACATGAAAAAATATGCACATATGCCCAGGCCAAAAGTGAAGCTGGACATTTTGTAATTCAAAGGTGAAGCTGGACATGAAGAAATGGCCATATGAGTATAGCTCAAAGGGAAACAACAGAGTTCCCTTGCCATCTGTGGAATATTTGGATCTAAGATTAGGTCCCTCCAAAGCACTCTGATATATGTTTAACATTGCTATATCCCCAGAATTTGGGAAGACGGTTAAGGGAAGGTATTTCTCTAAGACAAAAGGGGCAGAATATGGTTCATCCTTAAGTGGGCTTAGACTGTGTTTCGTGGCTTAGTAAAGTTGGTGTCCCCCCACCCTTCATCTCCATGCTTCCCTCTCTGTCTCTGTAAAAGGAATCTTATGAAACAAAAGTTCCTTATTATTTAAATCTCTTAGTGGGAAAGAAACAGCAATTAACAGAAGCTAGATTTAAGTTCATTCCTTTTCTTTGGCCCAGCGTCAGGGTACTCTCTACAGAACAATGCAACACAGAGACACACAGTCAACACTTTCTGGTTCTGGCATAAAGTCTCATATTTCATATGTGAGAAAGAATTTGTGTGTGTGTCTGCAATCATAAGGACACTTTGGAAGTAAGCCCCATTAAATAACATGGGCCTTACATACAAGTAGTCCTTCTTAGGATTGGTCCATGTGTCTATGGAAGGTATGTAGGAGAAACACAGTCTGCTCTATGTAGCACTAGTTCAATCCAGTGAAGAAGAGATTGGATTTATAGCCCACCGTTCACTACCTGAAGGAATCTCAAAGCAGTTTACTACCCAAAGGTGTCTCAGAGCGGCTTACAATCTCCTTTCCCGTCCCCTCCCCACAACAGACACCATGTGAGGTAGGTGGGGCTGAGAGAGCTCTTTCAGGAACTGCTCCTGAGAGAACAGCTCTGAAAGAACTTATGACTGACCCAAGGTCACACTAGCAGCTTCATGTGGAGGAGTGGGGAATCAACCCTGGTTCTCCCAGATTAGAGTCTGCACTCCTAACCACAACACCAAACTGGCTCTAAAGTGCAATAAACATCCTATTCAAAGGCTAGGACTTGTGTGATTCGCAGCTATGGATGCACTGAACTGAGTACAAGTGTTGCAATGTGTGGGTGCTTGAGAACACTCACCTCCAGAACACAATGTATTGGGGTCCCCATTCCTCACATCCTGGCGCCGAAACCGCCTACGGGGGAGGAGGGAGAGCAGAAAGATTTCTCAGTATGTCATAATAAAGGAGTGTGTTACATTTCTAGAAGATGAGCATGAAGCAACCCATCATTGTTCCATGAAGGTGCCCTGGAGGCCACAGCACCTGAAGCCTGAGACTGCACTGTGCACATCCAGCATAACTCTTGGACAGATATATCCAGCCATCTACTGTAGCAGGGAATCATAATTGAGGTTGGGATTGGGAACCATTTGCAGGTCCTTGGTGGTCAAGCAGTACATGTGCCTGCTATTGGGGGGGCAAGACTGCTTCTGGATACCAGCAACATCTGCCCTGCAAGCAATACTCTTCAGCAGATAAGTATGGACACTGGGCATGCCAATCAGTTATCACATCTCCTGATTAGGGGATGAAGTCAGCATCAGATTGGTACATGAAGATTTAGGATATATTTGTCATGGAAATTTTTTTGGACCAACAGATGCAGATCAAATCAAATCAAAATATCTCTAATTTTGTTGAATTGTGGTCTCCTATAATTGAATGTATAGCAAATAATGATTCTCTCTTCCATTTCACCCACCCCAAACAGTTCTTAGTTTTGCAGTGCAGATATGTAGTTATAGCTCTAAATACAATCATAAATAAGCTTAGTAGTTTTGACTAGTGTTTATTTAAATTGGAAATATAATTGTCAAATTCATTATATTTGGTGTACTTTCTATATATCTGCTCTGTATTTATATGTGTCATTTCTTAACATATTGACTTTTAATTTTTGGTGTACGTTGTTATTGTGATCTTACCGTAAAACTTTTAGCTGTTTCAATAAAGTTCTTTTTTTATTAAAGTCAGCATCCAGATCTGTGTGCCTCTAGTTTTTCTTTGGGGTGCAACAGAACACTGCTGATGGCTGCCAAGATTTTAGCTGTTTCAATAAAGTTCTTTTTTTTTTATTAAAGTCAGCATCCAGGTCTGTGTGCCTCTAGTTTTTCTTTTGGGTGCAACACAACACTGCTGATGGCTGCCAAGGGGCAATGGTTAAAAAAAGAAAATCTGCGAAACAGGCTCACAAGGAGCTTCAGCAAAAGAATGAATGGCCCCAAGCCAGAAAAAAAGCAGGCTCCTTCCCTTGCTGCCCCTCCCCCTCCACTCCTGCCAACAAGAGGAGGTCACTCTTGGGCATTACAGTCTGTCAGTCATACCGTTTGGTGTTATGCATGTAGCGGGTGCAGCTGCTGCCATCCCAGGCACAGTAGGGGTCCCTAGCCAGGCAGCATTCAGCACAGGCTTTGCCATAGATGCCACAGCGGTGCAAGGGCAGCTGGGAAATGGAAGTCCTGGATCCCACGTAGAGCTGTTGCTGTTGGGAAATAAAGCCACACAGCCCATTAAGTGCCACCCGCTCACTGTCTTTCCTGGCTTGCCTAAGGATCACTCAGCTCAGGCCAGAAACAAAGCTCTCAGCCACAGAGCCAGTAGATTTCTCTCTTTTTCAAAGACTGCATGCCTGCAGTAAAGGATTGTTGTGCAGCACTTAGTTGTTAGATGTTTTATAAACAGTAATAGTCTTAATGACGCTGGCTCAGCTTCACAGGATACTGGAAGTTCCATGAAGTACATGCATGTTCACCCCACTGGGGCAAGTAGCAGTTCCCTGGGGCCATTTCAGGTCAGGAAACCAACATAGAAGGGGAAGCTTAACACCCACACACACACACCCACACACAACCATGCTGTGATTCCAACCCAAGCTGGAGCTTTATGTGCCCAATATTTAAATAAAGAAAGACATTGTGAGTTTGTTTACAGAACTCCCATATAGCTGAGCCCTTTCACCAGCATGGAAACTGATAGCCAGACTACGGAGCAGGCCCGGTTTTTGTGGCATTGACTGACAGAAAGAACAGAAGTAGCATATTTGTTCTTAGTCATTCCGCATGATCTTTTACAGCAGAAGCAGCTCTCCAGAAAAGCACTACCTTCTGTTCCTAAATATGGGGTGCTTCGTTCATTTATTGACCATCATATACCTTCGCTGAGGCTTTTAGACATCCCTGTACTGAACATATTTAATGACAGGTGAATCAATATAAACCAGTAATGCTCAAATCATAAATAAAAGATCCAGCAGTGAGCCACAGAAACTTTGCAGAGGGGGTGGATTACTTTTCAACATTGGGTGGGGTAATATGATACATAGAACTGAGGATATGGGCAGACAGGAAAACTGTTTGACATTTACTTCCCAAAGCACTTTCTGGAGTGAATCTATTGGAATAGAGGGAATCTACTGGATTCACTCAGGGATCATTTCTCAGGGAAAGTCTGTACTTTTGCTGCTCAAGCGACACAGAACGAGATGAGTTAGGATGTTCAGAAAGAGCTGGAACAGCCCTAGCATCATCACAATTGTGTGGATTAAAACAGGTAATCTCATGTTACAGCTCTCCCTTCTCAGCTGTATGCAAGAACCCTCACTGACATTCACCTCCTCATCCCATTCCCACTCCTGTTGTACTACATACCCGCTTGGAGGAGATCTGCATACTGGTAACTGGAGAGGAGTCCTGCCAAAAAGAAATAAAGGAAAGGCAACGTGAATGCACTGATGAAAGGCAGACAGTATCTCAGGTATTGCTCCAGGGTCTCAAGAACTTTCCCAGGACACTCAGGTTATTGCCTCCTTTACCTAGATGAAGACCCAAAGGCCCCTTCCAACATCATAGTTTTGTATGGAAAAGGTAAAGAACTGTTAAAATTGCTAAGCCCCACATGGAGGCATGACAGCATCTTTAAGCATTACAGTCCTTCCCCAGCGTAGCTGTATTCAGCATAGGCTAAACCACCTTTTATGATTCTCACCTTAAACACCTGTAACTCTTCCAGTAGCAGCTCTTCCATATTCTCCCAGCTCTCCTTGGGCACAGAGACCACCTTCAGGACTGTACCAATGTCTGACAAAAAGGGGGGAAGTGGAAAAATTTAACACAAAAAGGCACTGCAAGCTGAGGCCTTCCATGTTCTGAAGGTGACTCTGGAAATATTATCCACCCATTTGCTCTTCTCACAACCCGAGAGAGCAACTGAGATTTCAGTTCATACAAAAGGGCAAGGCTGTCAAAAAGGACCATCTAAAGTTCTCTTGTAGCATGGATTTGCCTCTGAGCCCTCCAATCTCTGCTTCAGTTTCAAAGACCATGTTAAAAGACTCCCACAATCTTATACCAGAATAATATTTGAACAGGATGTCATCTGTCCTCGGCAGTGAAAAAGGCAGTGTGCCTCAAGGCAACTGATGGCCACCTCCCAAGTGGCATGCTGAGCATCCTTCACTGGCCCACCAAGCCTTTCCCAAGCTCTACAGTGCTCTGCTGCTTCCAGTGACCACCTGCACTCAGTCCCATCCAATGCACTTTCTTATGACGCTGCACATGCACACCATCATAAGGAAACATCCTGACTAGGTTAAGTACAGATGGCCACTGGAGGCTGCAGAGAAATCCATGGCAATAAGAGGTGAAGAAGAGAAGCAGTGGCTCGGTCGGCCAATCAAAGGTGCCTCACAAGCCTGCTATAGATGACAGCATGCCTTCACTTTAATATGGAAATTAAACCTGTCAAATGCAGGCCTTGCTCCATTGTCAAAATAGCAGGCTACATGCTGGTCTCAGGGGTGCTCTATGAAGGATGAGCTACAGCATGTGCCCTTGATTGGCCCTTGATCTCAGAACCTCATCGCATGGAGCTTTATGGTGCAGGTGTGAACCAGGCAGTATGGGCTGTTTTTTCCATCAGAAGGGGAGGAATGCAAACACACCTGTGCCAATGAAGAGGACATCATAGTGGCCATCAGCTGCAGCTACTCGGTCCACTGCAATGTGGGTGAAGGTATAGTCCACATTGGTTTGCAGGAAGATGGGACGCTGGCCATGCGGCAGCACTGGATTGTACATCAGTGGGTGGTTGCGGGCAAACTGAATCACGTCATCAGGGAAATCTTTAGTAGAACTAAAAGTGCCAAAGGTTTTGCTGGGACACTGGGAGAGGCAGAAGGAAGAAGAACAGGAGAGGAGGAGATGCTGTGGCATGTCAAAACAATCAGCAGCCCTAAGTCCTGGAAACTCCCCCCATCCTACCCTTCCATGCATCCCACAGGGCTCTGCTTCAATCCCACCCTTTGAGCATTAGTTCCCCATCCTTCTATGTGACTCTGCTTATGCCCTACTATTTTGACCTGGAGCACCTTTCCTTATTTCAGTACTGACATCTCATAATATTGGCATAGTCCTACAGTCCAGATCCTCGTCTTCCCTAGCCATGGTATCTCCTTTCTCATCAGCTCAGTGCAACCTGTTCTTGCTTGCTTCTCTAGCCATAAGCTCTCAAAGCACCTTGGTTTATGGGTGCCCATATCACAACAAGCCACAGAGGCCTACTTCACTGAACTCTCTCAAATCCAAAGCACCTACCATTCCTGGGCGTGGATAAGGGACCCGGCCCTGGTACGACACCCACTGATAGTTGGGCCCCTCCTTGTGGGCAAAAGGTCCCAGGAAAGCTCTGCGTATGTCATTCATGTGATAAACACATATAGCAGAGCCTTTGAACACAGTGCTGTAGGAGCAGAACAAAGAAACAGGCATTCGGGGAAAGGGTTAAAGAAAGAAGTTGGCAGTATATTAGAGTGGAAACGGTGCATCTCCCATCCCATCCCAACCCAAACCATGCATCGTTTACCAGAAGCTCAGCCCTAAGTTAGCCTGGTCAGAAAAGCAGTCTGTGCTGAAAGCGAAGTAAGTCCTTCACTGGAGACTGCTAAACTTACCTGGACGTTGTGAAAACAGCATAGAGCAATGGATTACGTTTGTCCCTGGTTGGCAAGAGAAAGACATCACCTGGGGATGAAGGAAGGAAGAAGAGAAGGAAGGAAGGTATCACCAGCCTGCAATCCTCAACCCTGAGAGTGAACATCTCTTTCCCATTCAGATGAGGGAGTGGTCTTGCTCTAGATATCTTCCCATCCCAGCCATACACCACAAAACTCATCAGGCAATAGAAGTCACTGCTCTCAACTGGCCTTACATCAGTTCTAATGCCCCTTAGGAAGGGGCTGTGGTTCAGTAGAAGCACCTCTGCTGTGCACACAGGTTCAATCCCTGGCATCTCTAGTTTAAAGGATCAGGTAGTGAGTGATGTGAAAGATTACTGCCTGAGACCCTGGAAAGCCACTGCCAGTTTGAGAAGACAATACTGACTTTCATGGACTTTTTCTTTTTTGGTACACCCGAGTCTAATTGCTGGTGCATAAGAGAGCAAATGTGGCTTCCAGGCTGTGGCAGATGAACAAAGAGGAAATTCAGAAATTGAAGGAAGGCCCTGGGGACAGTCGCACAGTCTCACTTTCCCCTTGTTCTGCTGTGCAACAAATTCAGACAGCCCTTGGAGTATTTGCTTCATCGAGGGCAAACCCAGCTCTCAATTAGTCACAGTCACTCACGAAGATGGTCAAAGTGGGTGTGGCTTCCGTCACTGCCTGTCACTGCACACACCAGCCGGGCCTTCAGAAATGTTGTCCACTTATTCACCAGGCTTCTTTGCCCGCCCATGTCATTCTGCAAAGAAAAGAGGAGGCTTATCAAAGACTCGGGCAGGATTTCCTTTTCCTCATGTGTTTGCATATCCCCATTCCCCACTCTACCTCTAATGCTTCATCAGCATGGTAGAGGCACAGACCATCTGGGTTTCCATGGCAGAATAGCCATTGTGTGTTTCAGCAGCCAGTGTTGGTCTCATGCCCCATTGCAAGTAGGCTCATGCATTTAACCTGATGCTCTGAGCCTTGGTCCCCACTCAGCCCAAGCATGACACCTGGCCCTCTGATCTGACTTGCCTGACTGGTATCAATCTGGCTAGACCTCACCCACATCTGTCATCCTGCCCCATCCTCAGCTGCGGACAGGCACATGTGTCTCACCCGGCAGATTTGGCCGATGCGGGCAAAAGTGTGCTTGCCCAACCCTTGGGCTCCTTCCACGGCCGTTTCCCGGAAGAAGAAGAAAATCTTATCATCATCGGGGTTCTCACTCTCCGGGATCCAGAAGACATCAATGAACTTAGGCTCTTGGGTCAGACAGATGGGAGAATGTCACAGCAGGGCAAGGAAATGGCTATGCTTTTTGGAATGGAAGTTTAAAGCAGAAGCAGGTGATGAGTTTCTGTGCACAATCTACTTGCTATTTAGCCCCCTGGCTGCTCCTGTGCCTTGGCTCCCCTGCCCAAGGATGACACCAGCCCTCTGATCTAACTTGCTTGACTGGTATCAATCTGAAATCTCTCTTTGCAGCGCTCACGTCACTGTTCTTGTTAGCCATCCTGGGCGCTCTCTGATAGTTCAGGAAGCTGCCAATCAGATTCTGACCACAAGATGGCAACACACTTTCACAAGTCACAGAGTGAGATGACTGGAGGACTGGCCTAGTTAGAACCCACTAAAAGCATTAATGAAAATGTGGATTTCCTTGGCACTTTGAGAATAACATTCTTCCAGGGCCAGCAAGCCAGTGATCCACCAAGGAGCGGAAAAGGACAACAGATTGAGTGCATGGAAGTATTGGTCCCTGTAGCTCCCTTCTTCAGCATTGACCTTGTGGCGGAATGGGCCTGTGTCAGCTGGCAGGCCCCGCTCTGCCCACCCCTCCTTTGCCTGACCTGGCACCTGAAGGGGCAGTTTTTCTCCTCTGCCTCCGGGTATTGCTGCCACCACTGTCCCTGTCTTGGGCTCTGGTTAGGTGGGACAGTCTCCTAACCTCCCTCCGTTGTAGCTAGGAACCCACCTCGGGGCTTCCTGACAATCTTTCGGGCTCCCCTGGAGAGTTGGCAACTGGCCATTTTGTCCCTGTTCTCCTCCTTGGGGAGTCCCCGACCCACCCCTAGCATGTCCAAGCGGCTGGGGGAACTATGTGGTACAGAGGGACTTCTCACCATCAACGTTAAAAGGATTTAGTGGAAAACTCAACTATTTACAGGCATATTAACAGTGAGTGAACTGAAGAATCAAAATAAAGGTCACAAAACCGCTCCATCTCTCCCTTCTCTACACTCCTGGCCCTGTCTAGATGGTCTGCAGGGCAGGCACATAACTTCATTTCAGTGGAGAAGGTTAGATCTGCATGTCTCCCAACATGGCCTCTGCCTCCTGCAGACTCCAACCAATAGTCTGACTGGCTTCAGACTTCTCACAGACCGCTGACTGGACTCCCGCCCAAAAAGCTCCACTATATCAAACAGCAGTTTCCCACCCAGGAAGTGGCTCTCCCTCCTGCAGCACCTCACCACCTTGATGGAGCTCTAGGGAGCTGCCCTCAGACTACTGCTTGGAGACAGGAGGGGAGGGGGGGAATGAGGAGGAGACCAAGCCCAGGCCTACCCCAAGTTTGATGGTCTCCTCGTATCCAGCGCCCACCAACTTAAACACACCCACAAAATGGTGTTTCTCCACAGACCTATTCACCCCCCTCTTCTCTAGGATTCTCCTCTCCCTCTCCATCACTGACCGTTGAGCCATCGAGAGTCATGCTGCTCTGTACGGATAGAAGGCCTCGGACCCAGGCTGCGGAAGATTGTGAAGTCGCGGCCCATCAGGTCAGTAGCCACACCGGAATAGAGCTCTTTACCTGAATGGTGCAAAGGAATAAAGGGTTAAAAGGCCTCCTGGCTTGTCTAGGCCAAGCCCAGCTTGGAATCCAAACTGGAGCATGTGCAAGATGCTCTCTCTGGCCTGTGCACCTTCCCCCCCCCCCAAAGTCCTCCTCCCCCAAACATGGAAAGACCCTGAGCTAACTCTGTTCAAACTGCCAGCCAGCGACACGGGAGCAGCTGCCACTACTGGAGCCTTGCTAAGTGGGTGCCTGAAGCCAGGACGAAATGTGCCACAGGGCAGTTGCATCCTTAATGCACAGCACCAGCTGACACAAGCTGTTCCCATATCAGATGGAGGGCAGTCCCCATATGCTGGAGAAGTCTAAGGGTTCTTGGCCAGGACAAATATTAAAGAGCATCAGGTGAAATTCATCTTGCTTGGATCTGGGGACTTTGCTAATGGCCACTGAAGGATCATATTTTTCTTATTATTATCTTCATCAAGAAGTGTGTGTGTATGCGTGTGTGCATGTGTGTAACTACTATGTGTGTACAAGAGACTAGGTATTAATGGGACATACCACCAAACCTCCCTATAATTACCATCCAGGCCTTGTCACTTACCTACAAGTACTGAGGCAGCCATGTGGCGTGGGTCATAGGGGCTCTTCCCTTTGCCATCCTCTACATTCCCAAGATCCAGTTTAAAAACAGAGTCCTAGACGGAGAAGCAACATTTCAGAAGGACAGGGCCAGACAGAGCACTTCTGCCCCATCTCCAGTCCCAGCCGTCCAGCCCTCAGCTCCAGGGTCCACCACCAAACTCACCTCCGCACGCTGCCCAACCTCTACGAAGCCACAGATGGGGTGAAAGGCCCCTGTGCCACAGGCGTACAGGTGGGTGCGGTTGTAGAGGTGTAGAATCTTGACGAAGTTCATGCACTCGGCCTACAAAGCAAAAACAGTGCTGGGTGAGTTCAAGGGGTGTCTTTTTCATTCAAAGGCTGGGGAAGCTGCATAATGAGAGGGATGGACAGATGAGAACCTACAGGCCAGGATTGGGAGGTACCGGCAGAGCTGAGAGAGGGAGCCAAAGGCTTGGAGGGCTGTCAAGAAGATGCTTCCCCCATCCCTATCTATTACATTCTACCCAGTGGCTCCTACTCCTCACCCAAATTCTTTTTTCAGATGCGCCTTCCCTCCTGCCAGAAATGGACATCTTGCGCACAGACAAAAACAGAGGAGAAAATGTAGAAAATGGAGTACAACAACTTGCTGGCCTCCAGTGCTGGCATTTGTTGTGCTGGTGCTTTCCTAGCCTCTGAATTTCCTCCCCTGACATTGCTGAAGTGCCAGAGCCTGTAGGAGCCTCTCTCTTTGCATTCAGCACTGTACTGCCTTATGCTTGCCGGGTGGGAATGGGGGTGCCTCCACGTCCACGGCTGATTAGAATTCCTGCATGTTTCACCATCAGCTTCTCCCAGCAGGGGGTTTGTGAAAAGGAGGATTTGGCTGTATGCTACATCCAAGGGGGCCGGGAATGATTTTGGGGGGAGAGATTTCGTGCTAGTCACAAGGAGACACAGAGACCCCAGTTCACCCTCCAAGTTGTTTTCTTTTCCCTGCAAAGCAAAGCTCCCCAGCAGCCCCACCCCTCCAAGGCCTGTCAGGAGTTGAACATCTGTTTGACTTACTGCTCAGCACAATTACCCACTGACAGATCACTCCTGCCAGGCCAGCCCATTAAAAAGGGGCTGATTTAAAAAAAAAAAGTCTGGGATAACTCAGGCAGAAGTGATGCCTCCTTGATAAATGGGCAGTAAATATGAGGCTGGGGGAGCAACAGGCTGTGGTGGGAAAGCGGAAGACAGTCAAGGCCCCATCTTGCACTGCCAGGCACCTTGACAAGCTAGAGGGTCCCAGCTTGAGAAGCTAGAGGGTCCCTGTGAGGGAAAGTACCCCTAACTTTTCCCCTCAAGGATTAATGTGAATGGTAACGGGCTCATCCATTCTGCAGGTGTTACTAATTGATCTCTCTGCCTACATAGTCCTTATCATCTTCAAGGCCAGAGTTGGCTTCTCAAGAGAAACTGCAGAGGGGGGAGGTCAGGAGTGGTGAGGTAATTTTCTAGAGGATTCCAGCAAGACTGTATGTTGATTGGGTGTCATCATCACCTGATGCTGCTTGACCAAAAATATAATTGCGCTAAGAACCTGGAGGAAAAAAACTAGCTTGGATTCTGATGGACTAAAGGTCACGCTTGAATTGCAATTGCTAGCAATGTAGAGAATGCCGGTGCTAAGGCCTTCTGACTCTTGGACTTAAGGTTTGTGCCATCGAACGCAAGTCCTGCAAAACGTTAGACAGTTAAGCTAGTTTTCTTGTTTTCCTGCTGTATGATTCTGAGATAATGTGTTGCTTGTAGTTTGAATCTTTAATTCTGCTAGAAACTACATGAACTTCATAAACTTTTAAATAAAATCTACTAAAGATTTGGTTACTTGTGTACAACTGCCCTGGGGACTCACGGGGTTCAGCCTTGGACTCATTGACAAAGCCCCACTGAGCTCTCTTCGACAGACAGCATGCCTGCCGAAGAAACAGCCAAGGCAAACAAGCAACTGAAGAGGGCTGAATGCGGCACTCCGGAAAGAGTCTTTTCACACGTGGCCATCAATTGCATGGGGGGGGGGGGAGAGACAGTGCTCAGCAAACAGCCATGGGTGGCTGGGAACCAAAAAGCAAATAGGAGGCTGGGAGAGGAGGGAGAAGGAGAAGCCCATAGTCAATGCAATGCTTCGAGGGCTGCAGGGGGAACTAGACGGCCAGAGTTACAGCCCTATCACTGGCTCAGCGGCAAGTCTTAGAAATAAATGTCCTGGGATTTGCAAGCTTTGAAACCAGGAATGGTGCCAATGCTCATTTTCTTTCTTGCATATGCTCTTTCTCCTCTGGGAACCTGGGGGTCAAATGTTTAAATCTTTAAATCTTTCCTCAACATTGAGCAATTCCCCCCCATACGCCTGATGTAGAATGCATCAAAATAAGGGAGGGGCTTCCTCTGGAAAGAGACACCGTTCTGCAGGAATGAAAGCAACCACTTCAAAGAAAGGTATTAGCAGAAAATATTAGCAAGGTGTTAATGGCTGACGAATGAATTTGCACAAAGTCCGTTTACAAAGGAACAGAATAATAATTTCTAAAGGAAAGAGGGTCCTAAAAACGAAGCAGGTGGGGAATAGGGCTGCAGCCAGGAAGACCAGATAAATCATGGAGCTCTTGACAACAGTTCCTCCTGCTACTTTTGGTTATTGACCAGATTTTAAAAATGCAACTCTAGAAATACTATCAGCCAAGCACAGTCTAATTTGCTCGATACTATTAAGTACAAGAAGAAATAAAACTGTGTGTCACAGGTAGGCTTCTATCATACTCTCCACCTAACTGGGCATAATCTCTATTGGACCCACTGGGATTTACTTCTGAGCATATATGTATAGGACTAGAAATAAAAGTTATTTTCTAGAAGCATCTGTTCCCCCCAGGGAGGGACACATAGAGTTAATTATATCTTTCCCTCCATGGGACAAATAGCAGCTCAGGGGAAGGAGGATGATTTAACTAGGGAAACGATGTGAGGGCAAAGGGTTACCCTCCCCTCCCCCTTTTGCAGCATCATGAGCCCAACAGGGCCATCTTTCCACAGCCACAGTTAACTCTTTAAGAAAGCCACAGTTAACTCTTTACGAAAGCCTTGGGAGATCAGCTCACAGATTTCCTGCCATCAAATCTTGTTGCACCCTGAAACCAGGAATAATTAGTGGCATCCTCTAAAATCAACAATGTCCCTACTTTTTCTCTCCTATGGAAATCTCTGTAGCCTATAGGCAAGACTGCAGCCCACGGCCTGTCACCTTGCACTTGCGGGTGTTGTGTGTGTGTAATGTGCTGTCTTGTCACAGCCAGCTTATGGTGACCCTGCAGGGTTTTCAAGGGCAGGAGATGGTGATTTGCTATTGCCTGGCTCTACATAGCAACCCTGGACTTCCTTGCTGGTCTCCCATCCAAGTACTAACCAAGTTCAACCCTGCTTAGCCTCTGAGATCTGACAAGATCAGGCTAGCCTGGTTATCCAGACTCTTGCACTTGTTCCTACTGAGTAAGCAGGACTTCCCGTCTGGAGAAACCATCCGGTTTTCTTCCTTAGGGAGCAAGAGGTGCTGACTCTGACACCTAATAGCTAGCATTCTGATTTAGGTTGAAGGAAGATGCAACCCAAGAATGGGGACAATATTTCATAAACTGAAAGGGTTTGGCCTCCCTTGTCCTGTCAGGCCGCCCAGCTGTGCAGCAAATGGAAAAGGGAAATGAGTCAGATGCAACACTGATGGATCAATGCATCAGGCACCGGCCAGATGTTCCAGCACTGCTGTTTCAACAGCTCTCCCAGACGTGCACCACTGAGCTTCTGCTGAGCCTCCCCGTGTCTATATTTCTCAAGCCATCCATCACAGACATGAGTAGCTAACGGCCCTGGTGTCATGCCCCACAAACAGAAGAACAAGGCAGAAAGCCAACAGTGAGTTTGTGTGTCTCATGCCATGCAGCATGAGACAGGCCAGGTTATAAGGACAAAAGCAAGCCACAGGTTGAGTGCCTGTGCTCTGACACAGAATGCTGCTCCAGGTAAATGCACAACCAAGGAAATGGCTGGGCCACCTTCTACAAAACACTCCCCAATCCTCTGTCTCTGCCAGCCTCAGACCTACCAGGTTCTTCCTTCCCCCTCATTTCAATGCACAGCCAGAAATCTCTGGCGTCCCAACTCTTGGCTCTGGCTTTCCATCTTGATTTACATGCCTATTCAGATGGGGAGCTGAAAGTGTGATCTTGCAGCTTACACTCTGGTAATGCTTAACCTAGACAGTGACGTCAAGTTGTATCACTGAATTTAAATGAACTTCAACCATAAGGGCAGCTAAGCTCTTAAAGAGCCTGGACCCCTTCCCAGACCTATTAAAGCCAACATGCCCCTTCCCTACAGGCTGCAGCAGCCTTACCAGCACTTTGCTGCTCACTGAGGCTCTGGGCACACACACACACACACCACACACACACTTTTTTTTCTACTAAAGATACATTGGGATTTTTGCTCCTGTGATGATAATTGCTCTGCCTCCCAATCATTTGCACAACAAAGGGGGTGTCTCCATTATTTACTCCCATTCTTTGCAGATGCCTTCTATGGAGGAAGGCAGAAGGATTTGCACTCGGCATGGAATGTGCTGCTGGGGAGAAAACAAATCCGGCGGGATCTTCCCACACTTGGAAAAATCGGCTTTTTTATTTTTTGCACAGAACTACCTCTGCTGATAGTCCCTTTGTATGAATGTCCAAACCTGCACTACTGTGACTGTGTCAATGAAGGGGATGGGTTTGGTTTTTCCTGGGATTCACTGGGGAGGGGGGGCGTGTTCATGATCACACACACAGAGAGATGTGCTTTCTAGAACAGCCCTTGGGGGCTAAACCATTTGCCAAACTTCCCTCCCATTGCTGGGCAGGTCCTTGAAGAGACAGGCCCAGGGGCTGTCACATCCCTATCATCACTCTTGAGCTAGCCCAGGAAGACAAACAACCTCGGGGGCTCTTTGGTGTCCTGCCCTTTTACCCTGAGGGATAAAAGCACCAGGAGCTGTTGACAGGGGGAGCAAAAGGAGACAGGCCTCCATCACAGAGAGAAATTTCTCCCTGATGCCTTTCCTCACCTAGCACTCTGAGCTCTGGCCAGCTGCATTCCATACCACTCACAACCTACTTGTGTTCAGCAGAGCATGAGGTACACCCCCCCCCCCAACAGGGTCAGGTCCTGGTGAGACAAAACCAGTGCCTTGACACTGCATTGAACCCATAATTCAGTGCTTGGCTCTGCCACCGCGTCACTGGGGGCATCACTGTACTGTCACTGCTTGGCTGCTCTTTCACTTGAAGTAGCAGGATTAGTTAAAAAAACAAAACATGTAGGTTCTGTTTACAATGGGGTTGATGCGCTGAGCAGTTCCTGTCTTGGCACTGCTCCTGGTGCCAAACACCCCAACAACTTTCTGACTTAGTGCTGCAGAAAGCAGTTAACACATACAGAGCTCCAGCGATCTTAGACCATTCATTTGTCACTCCTTGCCTCATTCCCCCCATTTCCCATCCTTTGCTTCTGCTACACAAGACACTTTTTTTGGGGGGTTCTCATTCTTACTTAGCTACTGTTCATCAAACAAATAATTAATTAATTGTGACACTGAAGCAATCATAATTTCATCTCATTTCTTCATGGACTCCTGAATGTGCTCAAAGCATCAGTAACAATTCATAACAGCATGCACAATGCCGCAACACCTAACTGGCCATGTAGCACCTGACCAGCCATGCCCTAGGGCAAGGTAGGTCTTTCTTCCCCTTGGGCACCATTTGTAATGAGCCAGCCACTGAACAGTACAGCCCATATTTGCCATGTATCAGCCCCAACCATGGTACACTGGAGTGGGCTGAAGTTCTCCACATGGACTTGGGACTATGGGTCTCAGAGGTATTCAAACAGGACATTACAGCCACCTACCTATTACATTTTCATCCTGCCCTTCCTCCAAGGAGTTCAAGGTGGTTCACATGGCTCTCCCCTGGTCCCTTTTATCCTTAAAACAACCTTGCAAGGTGGGTTAGGCTGACAGAGAGTGATTGGCCCCATTATTACCCAGTGGGTTTTATGGCTGAGTGGGAATTTGAACCCAAGTCTCAGTCCAACAGACTGATGCTTACAAAATCATCTGATTCTGAGTCAGATAACTGGTCTCTCAAGGTCAGCATTGTGCATTCTGGCCTGCAATGGCTTTCCAGGGTCTTGTGTAGAGGTCATCTACCACATGATCCTTTCTACCAGGGCTGCTGAAGATTCTGCATGTAAAGGAGGTGCCCTACCCTTCCCCTAACCACTAAGAAAATTCAATGTATCTGAAGAAGTGTGCATGCACACGAAAGCGTAGACCTTGAATAAAACTTTGTTGGTCTTATAAGTGCCACTGGACTTGAACTTTGTGCCACTAAGAAACACTGACCCTCTAAATGTGTTTAAAGTCCTCAAGCCAAACATCTCCCTTCTGACTTGGATGAGTGAATCTTTTCTCAAAGCCTGCCCTCACCTAGAAGGTAAAGCCATCCCAAGACCTGGAGCAGCATTACAGAGACCAGCAGGCAGGCTATGTTGAACTCTGGCATTGGGAGTTTCGAGCTGCTACAAACAGCCTTTGAGAGAACCATCTTCCCCTCCCCTCAGCTCACAAAGCTCGTATTTCCAAACTTGACACAGCACTGCCTCCTCCCTAGAAAACCTGTATGAGTTATAGCCAAGGTGCCCGAGACCCTTCTTCATGCTGCTCCACAGTTATCAAGGAGCAAATCTGAATGTGTCCTGGTTCATCTCTCCTCCTGCCAAAAGTGGTGGGAACCATCCTCTTATCTCCCGGAAGGTCAGGATGGGTCGCTGCTAAGCAGGAATCCCTAAGTGCACCAACCGGTCCCTCTACAGCGACATGATTCTCAGCCCTCATGGGGCCTCACAGGGTTGGGACATGAGGGGGCTCTGGGCAAGACTGGGGACAGAGAAAACAGTTTCCTGTGAAAGGGAGCTCCTTCCTGCAAGGTGCTGAGATCCCCAGCTGCAATGAAAGGTCGGGGGGAAACCAGGGGAAGGATCAAGCTAGAATATCAGGCCTTTCAGTAAGTAGTATCGGGGTTCCATTTTAGTTAAACCTCTCTGAGCTGCTCCATAAGGAACTGGTTGGTCTGTTCCCCCCGTAAGCACCCTACTCACATCACATCTGCGAATGCCTCGTGTCTCCTTCACTCTGTGCCCTTTGCTAACACAAGGCTTGAACAGAGGATTTCCCATCTGGGTTCACTTACATTGATGTCTTTACCTGCCCAGTTACATTCTTCCCTCCACTCTACAAGCGCCGGCCAGTAAATCTGTAGGAACAGAGAATAGGCAGATAATTAGCAAATGAAGTATGTTAGTGTAGTTGTTCATCATACTTTGAGGATGAAAGTGAAACATTACAGGAGACAGGCTGTAAAGATCCCCCCCACACACACCAACACACACTTATATTCCTGATATCCTTTGGTCATGGCTCCAGGTCTTCTTGCTATTGAGTCCGTGGCATAGTGACTAAAGGGGCCATTATATTTGATGTTGATGGGTATGCCCCAAGGACTAGACCTAGAGCTCTCGAACTCTTAGTATTCTAAACCAAATTAAGCTGGGCCACAAAGTCAACTGAAATACATTCCTGACACCTACTTGTGGTGGTGGGGAGTTTGACCCAGGAACTGGGATACCTCCTGTTCTGGATGGAGCTGCACGACCCCTAAAGGAATGGGTTTATAGGTTGGGGTGGCTGCAGTGGCCAGGGGCAGCTTTCATCGATTTTGGCTGGTAACTCAGCTGCAGTCCTTCCTTGGTGGGAAAGATCTGGTTACTGTGGTACATGCCCTGGTAACATTTAGACTACATTGGCCCCTGCCACACGGGCAGGAAACTGCAGAGGAGAAGTGTGGCTGTTTGCCCCGGGGCAAACTAACATGCAGTAAAGCGATCAGACCTACTGTGGAGGTTCTGTGGAGGTACTGTGGAGGTTCCATGGCAAGGGAGAGGTGCCGATCACAACACACGCCTGCGCGCAATGAAGAAGCGCGCGGCGCGGCGAACTGGTTTTCTTTTTTTGTGTACACTACGAATGCGCATGCTCCGTTGGGTGCGTGTGCGCATCCACGGAGACGTGGGGGAAAAAAACCCTTTTCCGCAAGGGGACATGGGCGGGCGCCGGATACCACCGGAAACGCGATCAGACGCCCGCCCTTGCCCCGCAGTTTCTGGAAACTAGTACCTCCAAGGTACTAGTTTTTTGCTGCGCTTTTTCGGCAGGAAGCCTCAGTTGTGCCACGGAAGCGCTACGCTTCCCAGATGTGCTGGTGAGATCGCGACCGGAAACTCCGCTTGTCTTCCGTATCTCTTGCGTGGCTAATGTTGCGTGTGACCGCAGCCATTACTTCAATGTATTCTGTATGGGGCTGCTCTTGAAGACTGTCCAGAAGCTACTGTTGGGTACAGAATGCTGCAGCCAGAATGTTGACTGGATTGGGTTGTAGGGACCATGCCACACCAGTCTTGGCCCATCTATTCCTTGGTGGGAAAGATCTGGTTACTGTGGGACATGCCCTGGTAACATTTAGACTACATTACTTCAATGTACTCTGTATGGGGCTGCTCTTGAAGACTGTCCAGAAGCTACTGTTGGGTACAGAATGCTGCAGCCAGAATGTTGACTGGATTGGGTTGTAGGGACCATGCCACGCCAGTCTTGGCCCATCTATACTGGCTCCCAATTTGGCCCAATTCTAGGTACCGGTATTGACCTTTAAAGCCCTATACAGCTTGGTGTCAGCATACCTTAACCACAGCCTACTCCTATATGAATCTACCCCTCTACTCCAGTAAGCTTTGGAGGCCCTGGTTCAAGTACCTCTGCCCTCGAAGGCTAGACAGGTGGCAATCTGAGAAAGGGCCTTATCGGTTGTGACATCAATACTTTGGAACTCTCTCCTCTACTATTGTCTTCCACCAGTGTGTGAAGAATTTTTTGTTTTGTTTGGCGTTCCCCTACTAACTGTTATTGGCCCTCCTCCCTTATGACATTATGCGTATTTATATGTTTTATTGAGTTGTTTAAATATTTTATAGACACATATTTTAGACGCTGTTATAATGTAGGAATGTTTTAATATTTTGATGTTTGCCACCATAGGGACCCTACTTGGGTAGAAAGGCTGCATAGAAATGTTTCAAACAAATAAATATCCCCAGTACTAACCTAGCAAATACTGTGAACACCAGAATTCACCACTGATTGATTTTCTTTTGCTAGAAGGAGTACCAGATATGTTTACACTAGTAACCTGGTCCTATAGGGCACTCTTCCCTCAAGATCATTCCATGCCTTAAAGACTGATCCAATGAACCCACACACTGAGACCAACTATTGGGTGGGATCCCATGGAAGGTTTCTACATTTGCAGCAGTCCTTGCACAAACAGAAGCACTCCCTGCCCACTTGCGCTAGTGAAAGTGATTCTATCCCCACTGTCTTTTCTGCATGCTCAGGACATAATGCAAGGTATTTCCTCTGGTATAATTTCAAAGCCAAATTAAATGAAATCATGTGAACCATATGTTGTACATTCCTTTGCTCCATATGCCCATTTAGATTAAAGCACTATGTATTGCTGCAGCTGCTGCACTACTACTTTACCAAGTGGAACTGTGCCAAGTACCTTTTCCTTTCTGATCACGCATTGCTGGATCTAACCCTATTTCCCCACACCTTGCTGGTGCAGTGGCAACCAACGGTTCCTGCTGTACCAGCACTCCATCCGAGCCTCAGATGGGGCACCATCAGGGGACAACAGAACAAGCGAACGCCACTGCTCCCCAGCAGTGAGGGGTGGCCTGCAGCTCATTTATCACAAACTAGATGTCACTTCATGGCACAAAACTCTGTTTAAGTTAAAGAAATCAAATCTGTTCACAGGATAAGGCTGTTAGCCATGCAGCAAAGAAGCAGACAGCAGCCTTTCAGAGCAGAAAGCCATGCTCTGCCAGCCTTCATACATACAAACAAATGCTGTGGAAGGAAGGAAGATGTATTATGTCCCCAAAGCATTGCTCCTGCTGGGATGAGAATGCAACTTTCATCCACAGCCCAGCAGTGAGGGCGTCAGCCGTCTCAACCCACGTTCTCTCCCGCCCCATTTAACTCCATTAACCAGGAAAGTTTATTAAAGGCAATTTCACAGAGCAGACAGGAATGTTAGATCTGTTGTCACGATGAGAAAAAAAATGCCCCCCTCCTGATACTTCTTTATAGCAAAAAGAGCTCCTAAGGACCTCAAAAGGGAGTTGAAGAAAGACGATATAACTCAACGTCTTTTGCTTTTGAGAAGGAGCCCTGTCCTTTTTTGGGTGTCAAGCCCCAAACAGTGCAGAGGCACCTTACCTTCTTGTCCTGCTTGCTGATATTGTCCAGGCTCAGGGAGGCAAGATAGTTTTTTCCTCCCACAAAAAGTCGTCCTCTCTCTTCATCCAGCAGCAGTGAGTCGTAGCAACAAGAGCGCTCCAGCTCATAGGTACGCAGTCCATGGCGCATTCGAAGATCTGAAGAGAAGAGGGAGGGAGGAGATGGAAGGAGAACTGCAGCCTCAGGGAAGAGATTCCATTTGAGTTCTCAGAGCAAAACTAGAAAGGATTACTGAAGCCAAATAAACACAAATAAAGAATGCAAAAACTGAAGTGATTGCTTTATTCTTTTGTAATCTGCCTTTAATTGGTTACACATTACCTTGTATACAGAGACAGAAAAGAGACTCCTAACTGCTAAAATAAACAAACAACTACAGACAGCTCAAAGTGACAGTTTCCACACATGCATTCCAAGAAATATTAACATCTGTACAGTACAGCCAATTTCATTGTACTAATTGCTCTGTTAATACTGATGTACTGTTTGATGGGTACAGTAGATCCATGCTGCTGTCGGAGCCTAGAAAGAATAAAAAATTCCCTCACACTGAAGTCAGATTTAAGAAAATGGCTAGTTGGCAAAACTACAATTTATACTGGATAGTTCTTTCACAAAGCAAATGAACTAACATTGCAGCTTGAACTCTGGCCATAGCCAATAGGAGATCCATATCTAAATCTTGGCTCTGCAAATGACCTTCGTGTGACCTGGGCCAAGGCAAGGCCCCTCACTAGGCCTCTGAGCCCTTCACACCCTCTTGTTTATTCGACCTGCAAGTGCCTTAAAGAAGCAAGATTCCCTGTCACTTCGCTGAACTCAGCACTGTGGGCCTTGGTGCACCAGGAGCCTAATAATGGTGCTATCACAGCCTCTGTAATGGGTTGATGCCTAAAAATAATCGGCTCAGCCTATTTTGCTGACAAATCTAAATAAATCAAACTGCTTACTACTGAAACAGTATTTAAATTTACACACATACACACCACACCCTATCTGAAACCGGCCTCTGAGGAAATGGTCTGTGAATCACAAACGCTCGTATTGAAATAAATGTTATCTTTAAGGTGCCAACGGACTCTTGTTTGTATTTTACAATGACAAACTAACAGGGCAACCCCCATTGCAATAAATAAAACCTGGCCAGGAAGTAAAGCCATTCGAATTCCTCTCCAACAGGCAACCTCAGTCCCCCCCCCCTCCAGATCCAGTGTGCTCCACAGAAGACAACCCTCTCTGGAACCTAAAAGGCAGATATGAACCCTCTGTGTTCCAGAGGGTGCTGCTGTTTTGAAAATATATGGCAACAGCGGCTATAATCCCATGACTCCTGTTGACACTCATGCTCTGTCTGTATGACATGAACGCGGTTAGAAGGAAGGAGGCTGGATGTCCAGGAGATGCTCCTGATCTTGCCTCCTCACCCTCCCCTGTCCAAATCCAATCTTCAGCCTGTTGCAGACCCCCCTCTGAAGCCCACCCGCCCCAATCGGCCCCACCAGCTTTAACAGGTTAGCAGCCTCAGCAGCAGCGTGACATTAATCTCCCAGCACAACAGGCATCTGCACAGAGAAAGGGCCCTTTCTCTGTCCACAGAGACTAATCTGCTGGCGGCGGCAGGAACAAATAAGTCATTGTGGGGAAGTGAAAGAAAGTGGCTGGCAGGGGAGCAATCCACCCGCTAATGAGCTGTTGCCCATCTTGGGCGCATGGGGTGCTGCACCGTGTGTGCACAGGACTGGTGTGGCCTAATATGCCCCAAAGTGTGGGCCTTCATTGGCATAACCCTTCTGGTCCAGTAGCACCATCTATGGTCCTGACCTCCTTCTCTGTTGTGTGTTCTCCAGGTCTGACTATACCACAAATGACAGGATAATCTGATACTGCCTAGCCTTAAGCAGCAACCATGCCTTACCTGATTCTCTTGTCCCTACCTGCCTTGTCTACTTTAAACAACAAAAAATTGTTTTATGCTAGGCTTGAACCAGGGTCATGAGGTATTACTAGATCTATGTCTAATTCAGAGAGTAACCCCCCAGCAAAAAAAAAATTGCCCGTTGCTGGGGTTGGGAAATTCCTGGAGATTTTGGGGGTTTAGCCCGAGGAGGGCAGGGTTTGGGGAGGGGAGGGACTTCAATGGGGTACAATGCTGTGACGGACCCCTGTCTCTTTCCTACTCCCAGGCAGTGTTCCCTCTAAGCTGAGTTAGTGTGAGCTAGCTCACAGTTTTTTAGCCTCCGGCTCACACATTTTTGTCTTAGCTCAGGAAGGATGGCTCCAGAGCAAACTAATTTATACAGTAGCCAAATCACCTGCTCACAACTTTAATGCTGGTAGCTCAGAAAGTAGAATTTTTGCTCACAAGACTCCAGAGCTTAGAGGGAACTAAAACTTTAGTTCCTCTCAATGACCGAGTTGACCTTAGGTAGCGTGTATGTCTTCTTTGTCTTAATAACCTAAACTGTCCCACCCTGTCAAAGACAATTGTTGAGTCTTTTGATCCAGCACAGGAACTTGAGGGAAAATACAGGAGCCATCTTGTCTTATTATTAAACCCTTCTGAAATGGCACCTGAGGCAGAATGCCCCCCAAATCCCTCCTGCCGGAGCGATGAAAAGACCTGGCAACCCTACTTTGAAAGGAAGTATCATTCTCATGCTCCCACATTTATTGACTAAACCCTATCAGGAGTGTGGCAAGCCTTAATGCAAATTAGCACATTGATTGAATACGTGCATTGACCTTGACCTTAACAATCTATGCATCTGTGTGCTAACATTTCACTTCTAGGATGGGCTCCTCTGCATTCTTCATATCCTGAACTAATTTTCAAGGAAATGGAAAGTACTTGAAGAGAACTAGGGCAAGTATGTTACTGGAAGGGAGGGAGAAGCCTTATCTAGTACCTTCTTGGGAATGGCTTTTTATCTTATTGGACTCTGATAAGGTTATCTACAGGATTTCCTCTTCTCTCCATGTCACTCACAAGACACTCCAGGGACTCTGAAGGGAGCAGCGGGTTAAAAATAATGTAACAGTGTGTGGTGGTAGAGGGGGAGACCAAATAAAAGTACTTTCTCGTTCCCTTTTCAGGGGGGTATTAGGTCCAGCCCCTAACCAGTATAACCATTCCAAGCAGCAGTTTGGAATGTATACAGGTAAAATGAGTGGATTTGAGTACAGTCACTCCTTTAACACAATATAGCATCAGAATTGTCCATAGGAGTGGTATCTTAATGCTGGTAGTCTACTTTAGGGGGCTCCTAGGAAGGTGACCCCCCCCTCATTTTTTCCAATCTTTGGAAAAAACTGAGATTTTCCCATGGCTGTGATGGTTGGGATACACATAGACAACCTGGCTTCGAGTCACAATTTTGGTAACACACAAATTACAGCTAGGTAATGGAAAGGCACTAGCTTTGCTAACCCTACTTTAACTAACACTACAGCCATGAGATAATGACACCTATAATGAGACAGATGTTTGTCACTGTACATCCCTGTCTCTTTATTCAAATAGCAAGGGAATCAACATCATTTAACTATGGAAAGGGAATGGATTCTGCCATACAGCTGGGACAAGAGAAGCCAATGGAGCAATTTCTTTTCTTCAGTTCCCTAAACTCTTCTGCTTCTCTGTCATTCATAAATAAAAAGGCTTCTTGAATGTAAACATTCTCTTCTGTGGTTATTCTGAACATAGCTGACTTACCCACAATGACCTGCTTTAGCTATTAGTTCAACAATAGAAGTGGCAGAAGAAAAAACAGATGGGCTCAAAAGAAAAGGAGGCACAGATTTTTCTGGCTTCTATATTGGGTCTCTGATTCACTTGAGTAATAAAGAACCAGTCGGCAGTATCCCTTTAGGGGCTGAAAGGCAAGAATGAAATCTGGTGATCTTAGCCTTGCCTTGGTTATATTTAGATGTCACAAACAGGTTACTGGAATAAAAGAAGAGTGACTAATGCTCTCCAAGTAAGCCCAGTTGGGAGAAATGCTCACAAAACAATCCAGAATTCCTTCCTGAACATTCATCATAATACCCTTCCCCACTCACATGGACAACATCCCTTTGCCTCATCTCCTTCAGTGATCTCTGTGACCACATGCCACTGAAGAACCTGGTCAGGAGCATTCAAAGACTTAACATTGTACAAGCTATTTGAGCAACCTTAAGGTGCTGCCTAGCAGCTTGGAGAAAACACCTCAAATATGAGAAGTCTCAACTTTTCATTAGGTCTAACAGATTGCTGGATGATAACAAAGCATCATGGAGTTGGGGATGATAACAAAGCATCATGGAGTTGGGGGGGAAGAATAAAGCAGAAAAAAATATAAAATTCTGAATTAACCAAAATAAAAAGGACTAAACCCCCCCCCCCCAATGTCGGTGTGTGTAAGCTTCAGCACCAAGATCTCTAGGATCTATCTGACAGCTGCAGTAATCCAGATTCAGCCGGTTTAGACTTAGCATACTAGACTTGGTTCATACTACCAAAAACGCTGCGCGACACCCCAATGGCCTGATAAGACTAAATATGCTCCAGACATTATTATAAATAATATATAAAGGAGTATATTATCAGCACTCCTTAACCTGTGTTGTAATATAGAAATGAACAAATATTCAATCCCAAGTACTGAAAATTTGTTAGACCTCATCTGTCTTCTTTTTTCTCTATGGGTGGTGGTTTACACGCACAACAGGTGAGAGCAAGTTAGTGACATCAGCACGTAGATTTGCAGTGATATTGCTGACTTCAGGAAAATTGTTCTCCAGCTTTACACAAGTGTAGACACTATTCTAAGAGCAGAATTGATCCAGGTTACAGCCATGGTCTTGCCCTTTCTATCGCACCTTTCCTTGCCCCTGCAGCACAGATTGGAAAGTCACTACCCTAACTGCAAGAGGATGGGGCTACAGTTCTCCATGCCCGTGTGTGTCTTTGCAAAGATTAGTTGTTGTGTCACAGAAAGAAAAGAAAAGAAAAAAACATGAACTGTGTCAAATGGAACATAACATGCAACCACTCCATTTAAAATAAAAGGTAGCTGTCAAATTTATTTCAGGGGTTTCCCGACTCCATCTCACACACACCCCCAACACACACACAGTTTTCCTTATTATGTCACAGCCCATCTCCCTGAGATCTGCTCCATGCAAAAGAACTGTTCACACCATCATAGTAATGGTCCTGTCCCCTGAGAGGTACTACCTATTCTGTCTATATGGTTTTTGTCCTGCCTATCCTGTCAGGTGGTCAGGTCGGCACAAGTAGGATCTCCTTCCCCACATTATCCTCACAACATTTTTGATTTTGGCACACTCATGCTATTTTTTTAAACTGTGGATTGCAGCGGTATGAACCTCTGATTCAACTTTTCTCCCTGAATCACATACAAACACACACATATGTCTGCACGGAGGAGAGGGGCGTACAGCTATTGCACAAGGGCCTACAGTTATCCCTCTGCAAAAAAAACACCAGTCAAGAGGGCTGCAAAGAACTTGCAGTGACATGCAAAACAGTAAAAATGGCTTGAGAGAGGGGCCTAACCCTCCTCCTCAGTGCTATGTCCCAATCTGAATTGAGATTATGCACCTGCAAATAAAAGTGTAAAAAAGCAGCAGCAGACTCACTGACAGATCTCCCTTTATCCCATCCAGGCCTCCACCCCTGCTTAAACTCCAAACTGGTACAACCTGTCCACCAAAATCCCCAACAGAACTAATCCAGAGTTCACACTTCTGATATGAAGCGGCAAACTCTCCCCCACGTACCTACTCCCATCTATTGCCCCCACTTGTTTGTTTTCTACTTACCCTGGAAGGAGAGCTTCAAGCGAGGATTAGTACTGGCAGCCGTAGCTTCATTTCCAGCCAGCAACAGCAGCGCCAACACCTGGATCATAGCAGCTGCTGCCTCTTCCCCCTTGCAAGCACTGGACTCTGAACCTCAGGTGGCTGAAAGGCAGAGATGAGAGAGTGAGACAATCCGCAAGATCGGGTTACAACAGTCCCTTGTGTGGGAGGGGAAAGGAGAAGGCATGGGGGGGGGGAACTCAGCTTGCTTTAGAAGGGGGAAGGAGGGACCCTAGACAAATATTGATCTCCTCTGGGTTTCCCTCCCCTCCCATTTTCTGCTTCTTGTCACAACCCAAGACAAAATGAATGACTTGGTAAGGTCTTCTCAAATGTGCTGCAGGTTGGGTGGGCAGGTACAGGATCAAGGGATCCTAAAATGAATGTTCCCGCAGTGTCCAAAAGGTCCCTTACTTTTCAAAGACTTCCGCAGAACTCTACAGCACTCCATAGATCAGTGATGGCGAACCTTTTAGAGACCGAGTGCCCAAACTGCGACCCAAAACCCACTTATTTATCGCGAAGTGCCAGCACAGCAATTTAACCTGAATACGGAGGTTTTACTTTAGAAAAAACAACTCATACATTAACTTAAGATGATCCAAACAAAGTAAGAAAAGCAATCCCAAATGCTTTCATTTACTTAAAATTTGGCAGAGAATTTGACACTTTAATGATGGTCTGGGCCTGGCTGGTGCGATGGCACGTGTGCCCACAGAGAGGGCTCTGAGTGCCAACTCTGGCACCCGTGCCATAGGTTCGCCACCACTGCCATAGATGCGGCTGCAAGTTATTTTCCTACATTTATCTGGCAAGCTGACATCTTCATCTTCAGCCCAAAGCCCCATCAGGGTCCCTCTTCAAGGTGAAGCTTTTGAGATACACTCCCTGCCTTCTGCTGCCACATCTGCACTTCAACACCAATGAGAACAGTGGAGCACAATGAACTACCAAGGCGGAATACCACATTTTGGATGCAAGCCAACTGCTTCTGCAAGGTTGCTGTGAGGACAGGCTGGAAGGAACTGAAAGTGTGAACACTGCCGGGGGACTTTGGGTTAATGTCTTGTTTGGAAGAGATATTGCACACTTAGGTGCTCTTCTTTTTATTAAGTACTAACAGTGAACCATGAGGCAAACTTGCTATTTTTACTCTATCCAATGATCAGATCAGTGATCAGCATGCACTGTGGTGAGCAAAGTATCTTTTTCAGCAGAAATATGTCCATTATTTCACTGTTCTTCTACAACACAGACACAGGCAAAGTGCACAAAGAAGTAGTAACTTCAGACTAGTCACTGGGTAATATGAGTTTTTATTTTAGCATCAACCATGTTTTCCTGGAATTTTTATATGAAGGATCTATTTTTCTATATAGGACCTATAGACTTGGTGATAACAATGTCCCCTGTTGAATAAGGAAATGAATTGCCCAACTCAGAAACTCTTGCAAACCCCCCCAAAGTTTGAGGCCAGTGGCGCCTTTAAGACCAACAAAGTTTTATTTAAGATATAAGCTTTCGTGTGCATGCACGCAACCTCAGACACAGCTACCCACCTTACCAAAATCTTACCCAAAAAGTAAGCCAGGAAACCATTGTACATCCCAGACAGCAGTGGGTAGTGACAAAGAATGAATGGCAAAGAAATGTTTCATTCAGTATTTCCAAAACATGGTGGGAAAGTGCAGGGATAAAACCGCATGGCAGATGTGCTACCGCTGTCATAAAGAACCGGGCTGCCAGAGGAATGTGTGATTCGGGTAAGACAAAGCCAAGAACCCCTATGATTTTTCTTAATGAGCTGTAGCTCTCATCTCTCTGCAATTTATGACACCCAAAGGTACAAATGAGATTCTGTCCAGCTGAGGATATCCAGATACCAGTCAGTTTTTACTAGAACTGTGTCTGTGCGGAAGAATTTTTGAGAAGACTAAACTTGCTGCTTGCTGCAATCTTTGCAGCAGTGTAAATTTAGCAGTTTAATAGTGCAATTCTAAACAGAGTTATACCCTTGGCTTAGAAGGGTGTAATTCTGTTTAGGATTGCCCTGCAAGCCAAAATAAGTGGGTTTTTTGCCCCACAATAGCTGGTATTGGAATAGACATGGAGGTAGCCAACCAAATACTTTGTCAATATCTGTGAAATCAAGCCCAGATACAAATGTCTTTTCAGAAGAGAGCTGTCTCACTTCAGAGTAAAGTTTGAGTCCAGTAGCACCTTTTAAGACCAACAAAGTTTAATTCTGTGTATAAGCTTTCATGCACATGAAAGCTTATATCCAGAATTAAACTTTGTTGGTCTTAAGGGTACCTAGGGCTGCCAAGTGGGGGCAGGTGGCGGGTAACCCCCCGCTTTGGAGGCCCGATTTCCGCCGCCACAGAATCGGGCCCCGGGGGGAACCCCACCCCTGCGTGCGTGTCACCAGGAAGTGACATGGACACGTCGGGCACGCTGGGGGCGGGGCCACGTGCCTGGCGTCCTGGCGTCCTTCCGTCACTTCCGGGTGACGTGCGTGCACGCACAAGACGCCGGCCGGGAGCCCCCCGGTCCCGGCGAAGATACACTTGGCAACCCTAAGGGTGCCGCTGGACTCAAAATTTTGTTCTATTGCTTCAGACCAACAAGGCTATCCACCTGAATTTCAGTTCAGAGTAGTCAAGGTTAGATTTATAGTAATAAAACAGACCATTCTTCCTTTCCAGATCCAGAATCCTAGAAGCACCCTACCTTACATCCCCTAGAAATTTGTGCCACTGTTCCTTTTCCTGCCTCCTAGACTCCAGCAGTATTCAGGGAAGAAACTGGACTAAATCAACAAGGTACCCTTTAGTATGTGTTGAAAGGCTTCACTGATGAGGGGCTTCACCATTTACATCTTCCAGAAAACAAACTCCACTGACTCAGCCACTGCATGAAAGCGCCAGTCTACATGTGAGGGTTCCCCGATGGAGATCCATACAAACAGCCCACACAATGGCTTCTCTGCACTTACCACAGTGCATTCCCCACGTCATATGGAGGCTCCATGCCAATGCCAGGAACCTTGAATGAGGTTATGGAGGTTGTAACATTTTGACTAGCCCTGTGACATAACATATGGCAGCTGCTTCGTGTGCGGTCACCCATCAGGGCATAGCAGCAGTTCCTCCATACTGTTATAGCTGCAGGTACAGTCCTCCTTCCAGGTGTTGTCATGCCAAAACTGCTTTCTCCAGATCAGCACCATTCCTTTCCTGAAATGCCATGTCCTAGGGTGCAACAGAGAGGACCAGTTGCATGCCCAAGAAAAACCCCACTGAAGTATGAGGCTATTCTAGATCCAAAACAGGAACAAAAAAATCCAGAATTGGAAAGCTCAACGACGAAAGCTGCCTGCATTTCTTTCTGCTTGCTTCTCACTTACAGTACTATCAGCAGAGAACTCTAGCAGCCCATAAGGCTTTTATTTCCCTCTCTATCAGATGTCCAACAGCAACGCACAGCCCAATTTAAAATACAGTTCCATTTGCCAGCAGCCAGAATAAACCTTGGCAGCCTCCTCTGCTTTGCACATCAACAGATTGCCACACAGGAACTGCACAGAGGTGTTTGGGTCTTTTTATCCTACATTGGTTTACTGCTGTGCAGTTTTGCAATAACTGAGTTGACTATTTGACCAGCTGATACATTCAAATGGACACATTAGATTAGCAGAGACTAAGAGGTTAAGTCTCTGCAGCAGAGCAGTGCTGATATATCAGAGCTGCAGATAGCCCCGTAATGGGATATAAGGGTAGGGCAGAAGAATGTTTTCAAAAATATATTTTAAATAGCTAATATGACTGCCTGGAATAAATAGGAGGAATATGTGATTCAGGCTAATGCAAGTACAATCTGTGGCTTGGATCCTGCCGAAAATCCTTTTGCCAGTCAAGCATATCTTCTCCACCTCTCCCTCCTCCTGCTGCCCCCAATCCCACCCCCCATTTGCTGCTCCCAGAGGAAAAGCATGAGGGGGAAGTTGGCAAACATCTCCCCCCCACATGAATGGAAATGATATGTGGGATCCAGCCCTATATCTAGAGGACCTTCGATTGTTTAATGTTACCCACCCACAACGTTTATAGGGAAAACAAATCTGCCGCACAATGCTGTCTGGTAATAAAAGCAGCAGGAAACTTAGATTCTGCTCCCACAGCAACTACTCATTTATACTGTGCAACTATGGACAACAACATTTGATGCCGCTGGGGATCTGTGATCAGCTCTCCAGATGTATACTGCAGTTGCAAAAAGTAGCTGGCTCAATTTGGATCAGGATTGTGGCACTGGGGAAGGGGGAACCAACTCTTCCCCGTTATTTTCCTCCAGACTGCTTTAAACTCCGGGAGAGAAAAATACTTATATTATGCCTATTCTTTCCCTTTTCAGGGCTTTAACTAGATGGGAGGGCATTTCCAATCAGGGAAAGGGAACAGAGGGAAGAGTTAAGTCATCCATCTCCATCATCCCAATTCATATTGTCCCCCATGGCTATTTTTGGCAATAAAATATGCATCCGGGGATCCATTCAAGGATTCCCAGCACCTTGTGTGGTTAGGTTTAAAAGCCAGCATTAATAATAAAAAAATGGCTCATAACTAGAAATGGCCTGCTGTCTGTATACACATACATTGGTGGCAGTCAGACACGCGAGATAATGTGGGGGGAAGCGAGGCTATTTTCCCCAGTGGAATTTGACCTGCAGCTGTGTGATCACACAGTCCTTTGAAGCTGTGGGGGCAGCCTGCCACCATGTGATCAGACACAACCGCAGGTGAGTCGGGGGGGGGGTTTGGCCATTTGTTCCCGATGCGCTTAAACGGGAAATTGATGGACTTTCCCTGGTGTCTTTTTACTCCACTTCTGCGGCGGAGCAAAACGGGTTGCCGACGGGTGCGGGGCGCTTCCCAGATGTTCACGTCTGACTGCGCCCTTTAAATCCGCCCGGCATTCGCGCCTATTCAGACACAAAATACTTGCTCAAGCAGAAAGGTCTGATAATACCAAGTCCACTCTATGACTTGGACAAAGTTTATTTATTAAAACATTTTTACTCAACTTTTCCTTGTGGTTCAATG